TAATAAGTAATTATGCTAACATAAAGATAAAAATTACATTGTTGACATTATTTTCTTTCATAATAATAAGCAATATATTGCAGCACCTAATATAATATTTATAAATAAAAGTATGTAATACTTTTTAAATAAAATATTTTTATTTTGTTTAAAAGGTATTCTTCGTTCTTCTATTCATATTGCATTAATAATATTTATTTTATAAATATATCATAATGTCCAAACGCAACAACGACATCTGTTACAATAAAAAAATCCTATAATTGCAAAACATTTTTCGATTATTTATGAGTAGTATGTGACTTTAAAAATTTTAAAATTTATAGTAGAAATTCACGAATAAAAGGCTTCTAATTTCTTTCATTCTTTTATATTTACTCGTATTTTTTAAATATAATATTTGTTATTCTTTACTATATTTTTAATTGTTTTACAATATTTGTATATCGGTAACAATATTTTAAAAAATTTATCTCTCAAAGAAATTATACAAATAAATATAATTGTGAAAAAACACTGCATTTGTTGCTATTTGCTTTCAGGGTAAATTAATCGCCAATGCAACATACGAAACGCTGTGGTATGAAATGCCGTCACGTCAGATCAAAATAATAGTATTTATAATAATGAGATCTCAGAAGCAGCTGGCGATCACGGCGGGGAAAATGATGGATATGTCATTCGAAAGTTTTGCAAGTGTAATCTTTGAAATATTTCATCTTTTACGTATTTAATTTTTAAGAAATATTTTTATTTGTTTGGTAATCAATTTGTTACATGTGTTCTTTATGCATAAACATAATTTACAGATTAAACTTAATTTCTGTTCTTTAGATCATTAAGGCATCAGTATCATATATATCTGTCCTGAATGCTGTATATTGACATGAATAGAAACGTGATATACATTTGCTTAAATATAGTTAATGTAAGCTGAGAAGTAATAAAATGTTGACAATGAATTCAGAGTTAAATTGTTATTAACATGTCAATAGTCGTTATTCATTAATGATTGGTCAAGATATTCCACAAATAAATTTTGCATTTAATATAAAGTAATTAATACAAAAATATAAAATTTTTTATGTATTAATATTATTACATTTATATTCTTATTTAAAAGAATCTTTCTGCGGAGTACAATGAGTTTTCGAACATTGCCTTTGCATTAGGAAATTACACATATTCGGTCTTACAAAGTAAATTTCAAAGTGTATAGACATATTTAAAACTTATAACATCTCGAACTGGAAACTTTTTACTTGCAAAGTTTCTTCCCCAGCGAGTTTTTTTGCATTCCCGGAATCATTAAATAAAATTATCCATCATTATACTTTCTATTCAAAGATCTCTGCCTTTACATTATCTTCTCCAAAACTTAAGGTTAAACTGCACGAACGTAATGCAGTTCCGTTTGCTTAGAATATTTAATATATAATTACTCATGTTCCTCTATAGGTTTAATGGTTTTTGCAGTATAGACCACATAACGGGCATTTGTTTCTTTTCGATGGAATCGCGTTGCCAAGAGACAGGTGTGTAAAAAAATGGAGCTGACAATTTCGCATCGAGTTTGTCATTTCACGTTGAAGTTTCATATTTTTCTTACTTGGCGGGTATTATACGCTCTTAGACTACCAATAGAATTACAGAATGTTCACATAAATAATGAGCTCTATCTCGATTTGCTGTTGTACTACGCATAATGACGATTGATCCATACTTACTCGAGTGGGGATGCACTGCGTGGGGTTACATTTGATGAAACTGTTGACGCTCTTTTAGTTCTTTCTCAAACCAGAGTGCCGGTTACATGTGCCAACGCTGATCTTTATTTCACCACAATCTCGATATTGTTTACGAATGATACTCACGACTACCGTCAGTCCAGTGCTGAGGATCGGCCTTGAATTGCTGGATGTGTGGCCGGGTGTCTCGTATTCCATTCCCTATTGGCTAATTTATATACTTAGCATACTGGCCGTACAGTATTTTCAATATCGATACGTATTCGAGCACTTGGGGATCAGTGAGCTTTCGAATCTCATTGACAGCTTACCCGCAGCTTTAGACTATAGCTTGACGATTTTGAAATTAATCAGTCTTTGGATGCACCGTCGGTAAGATGTTATGTTGCTGCAAACGTTAGTTTCAATCTTCAACCTCGTCCTGTTTGAGACAAGCACAAATTATGTTACACATTAATATATTAATTTTTTAAGTATATAGCATTAGTCAAATGTTTTATAAATGAAATTTATCTTAATTCAGTTTAATCTTAAATCTGAATTCGAGTAACAGTTTATAGAGGTTTGTATAGACAATTCCTGTCGCAATATCTGTTAAATTAAAGAAACATATTGTAGAGTCATTTATCAACTAGTGACTGCTATGGATAACGATTGGCGCGAATGCGTCGATAGTGATCAGCATTTGTATGTGATGACAATCAAAGCCAATATATCGCATTGGTGTTCTAAAGTTATGTTCAGCGTTAATTCAATTACTGCAGCATTTTATCTTTTGGGCGAATACGCAATTCGTTTTGTTTATCTATCTGGAGATTACAATGATACCTTTCGGCAGTTTCCAATCAAGGTACAATTTCCCTTCGAAACTCAACAATCACCGATTTTTGAGCTGCTGGCTGTAACTCTATTTCTACACGTGATGTTAAATGCATGCACGCTCGCTATTGTGAACGCATTAATTTCTACTTTAGTAAGTGTCTCATCGTATAAATTATTGTAATTGGTATATTAGACTAATAGATCATAAATATTAATACTTTCTCACAAAAGTTTAACAGTATATGATGTCAATATAGACCTGAAAGTATCAAGATTACATTTAGTTTGATAAAACTCGGTTACACACAAATCATGATATATCACACAAACGTAACTTAATATAAGAGTTGATATCGCTGAAAAAAATTAATATAGCTAGTTAATTCAATATCGCTTATAAATTGATACTTGTAATATTTGACAACTTGTGGAGATTTAGATATATGAATATTCTAGGTGTTTCACGTAAGTGGACAAATCGATATATTATGTCAAGAATTCAAAGCTATTTCTGAAAAAACTTTTTCTCGTGAAACTTTCACATCTACATTAGGTACATTGATTGAAAGACACAACAGAGTTTTTTCGTTTTCCGACAACATAGAAAAACTTTTCTCCTTTATTGCATTAATGCAAGTTATCTGGAATACATTAGTTATGTGCAGTCTAGGATTTATTATCATAATTGTGAGTAAGTGTGCTGCGCCCAGTAAATGTGCTGCGAACAATATTTCAGTCAATTTATTCGGTTTTGTTGCTTGCCGAAATAGTCGTTTTATATTGAGACCAGTACCGTCACGATAGTAAAAACAGTTTTTACTTATCTTTGTGTAATAGTGGAAATTTTCATCTTATGCTTTGCCGGAGAGTATCTTAGTTTGAAGGTTAGTAAGTATTTGTGAAAATTATTAACCATAAGTACATGTATATATATTTCAATAATTACACGAATAAAATATTTATAATATAAATTACATTACAATAACTGTTTTCCTACATAACGAGCACATTGTTTTAAATATAAAATGATGTAAAAATTATTGTAGCCCAAGACTATGTTAATTAATTAATATTTCATTTATTAGTATTTTATTTCATTAAGTATGAGAATATTTATTCTACAAATAGAAATAACAAGTAAATAATTTCGTATATATTTATATAATTTTTTTATTTGTCTTCGAAACAATTCTACTTGACAATACGTTACTTCCATTTTGCATGGACGGTGTGTATATTTGTCACTCTAACTTCTTAATACAAATAAAAACATTAGGAAATTTTTTTACTTGTATACTAGCAATCACTGATGCCTTCCCAAATGAATTTGTGCACATACCAACACATTTATACATTTTGCATATACATACATGGAAAATATGCATGTGTTCTGCCTGTGCCTAAATTCATACGGGAAGGTATCAGTGATTCCTAGTGTACGAAGAAGACTTTCGTATATTTGATTGAATAAAGAAAAATCGAAATATCATTTTGTTGTCCTTAATATTTTTTTATTTTCAGAGTAAATCAATCTCGAATGCAGTGTACGAATCATTGTGGTACGATTTACCACCAAATCAAGGAAAAATAGTAACGCTCGTCATAATGAGATCTCAAAAACAGCTGATGATCACGGCAGGAAGAATCACAACTTTATCTTTGGAATCTTTCACGAATGTAAACTTTCAGAATTATTTTCTTGATCGTTAATTAAATCTTTTGACATTCGATAAAAATGTATAAGTGAAAATGTATATATACAAGTTTGTATTAATTAAATTTCTAATTTAAATTGATTTCTCAATTTAAATTCTTTTTAGATTATAAAGGCATCAGCATCATACGTGTCTGTTTTACACGCGATGTATTAATAGTAAATATGTATATTAACAAATAGCAATTTGTTCAAATCGCAGTGTTATTAGTATTATTAGTATAAAATCTTAATGTAGAATAACTGTTATCAATAATTAAATTCGACAAACTAACACACTTAAATTTTAATATTATTTTAATATAAGATTAAAAAAACATTTCAATGTAGATTACACAGGCAAAAATATTTAATTAAACTTGAATACTTACATCTCTTTTTACTTATTTTTTAAATCTACTGTATATATAAACGTATATTCTTACCGAGAAAAAAGACAGAGGAGGAAATATAAAAACAGAGAGGAATGTAGATTTTCGTTATGGTGACCGTATCGAAATATCAAGACTCTATCCAAAGATCCAAGTACCTAGGTGCAGTTTATGTTTGCACGTGCTGTTGTGTTTGTAAACAAGTTTCTGTAATACGTCCAGTTGATTCCCATTTTTGTTGAGTTCCTTTGCAACTGTATTCTGCAAAAATGTAATATTTACGTTATTATAATAGAAGGAATAACACATCGCGCATTATACTTTTCTGATTTAGAGGAATACGAAGCTTCTTGTTCTCTTGTCTTTTTAAAAGCTCACGATCAATGCCACGAGTACAATTCATTTCCGTTTCATAGAATACCCACATAATTATAAACTTTCAAACTGCCCTGCGTATGACGATTATCAGAATATCTAGAAAATAATGCACATCCGCTTTTTTGTCGACGACATGACATTGTCAGTGGGAAGAAATGGTTCAATGCACGATTTTTTTTATTACTTCATGGTAAAGGTGCACATTATGAGAGAAATGTAGAATGTTCGTATGAGATAATTCTACCTCGAATTGCTCTTATACTACACAATGTATAATAGCGATTGATCCGTATTCGCATGAGTGGGGGTTTACGTCGCGCGCATGGGGATACACTTGGAAAAACTGTCAGTTCCCCATCAGTTCTTTCTCATGGTTACAGCAAACAAATGTGCTGATCTTCAAGTCCTCGCGTTTTCCAAATTGTTAACGAATGATAGCCAAGAGTACTGTCAGCCCGGCACTGAAAATCGGCCTTCGGTTGCTTGGTGTGTGGCCGGGTGTGTCGCATGCCATCGTTTATTGGCTGATTTTTATGTCGAGTATACTTATCATACAGTACTTTCAGTATCTCTACATATTTGAGCACTTCAAGATCAGCGAGCTCTCGAATCTTGTCGATGGATTGTCCTTGACTTTAGATTACAGTTTGACGTTTCTCAAATTGGCCAGTCTATGGATACATCGTCGGTAAGATACCGCATCGCAAGTTATCTTCGTATTAAATCGCTCTCGCGAGCAATTAGGCTTTCGTGACACCGTCGGCCCAAACGTTTTAAGCGAAATATTAATTACCAATGTATCGCTCTCGCGCGAAAAGAGTAATGAAACTTTATTCATTATCTGACCGATTTAATTAACATATTGTAGAGTTTTTCATAAAATTCTGGCCGCTATGGAAAACGATTGGCGTGAGTGCGTCATCGACCAGCACTTGAGTTTGATGACGATTAAGGCCAGTGTATCACACTTTTATTCTAACGCTATGTTAAGCTTCAACGGAATTGCTGCAGTACTTTACGTTTTGGGCGATTATGTAATTCGTTTCGTATATTCAGCCAACAATTACAATAATACCTTGCGGCAGCTTCCTATCAAGATGTTACTTCCCTTCGAAACTGAGCAATCGCCGATTTTCGAGCTATTGGTCGTAACTCTATTTCTACATGTAATATTAATCTCGTTTACAGTCGCGGTCCTAAACGGATTAATTTTTACTTTGGTAAGTTTCGAATTTCACATTTGCGTTTTCTGTTTCATTCAAGCTGTTTAACGAATGGATTTGCGATGAATTTAAATCGAAGAATACTGTCGTATGAAAATCTCATTTTACGTTATTTTTTGTGAAACTTTGTTATATACAAAACCGCATTACTACTTCGTTTAGAGACACAAAAATTACTATCGCTTTTGGAAAGATATAATGCTTGGATAAATATTGAATACGTCGTAGGATGAAAAAACAGTAAAAAAATTCTTTTATACCAAACATAATTTTTAAAAGTAAAAGTATTTTTCATACATAATACTTGGAATCTTTGCAGCAGTTTGAGTACATTTTAGGTGCTTCACGTAAGCGGGCAAATTGATATAATATGTCAAGAATTCAGAAATATTTCTGTGAACGCTTTTCCCTATCGATCTTCCGCATGTATATTAGGAATGCTGGTCGAAAGGCACAACAAAGTCTATGCATTTTCCGAAAGCATCGAGAAACTTTTCTCTTTTATTGCATTAATGCAAGTTGTTTGGAATACTTTGGTCATTTGTTGCCTAGGATTCATTATCATAATTGTAAGTATTATCATAAATGCATTATAATCGATATTGTAAGTAACACATTCTTTTCTATTGTACATTAAAACAGTCTGTTCACAATGAAACCGATGTCTTCGTATTTGTAAAGGCCACCTTGGCTTACTTCGCTGTAATGATAGAAGCCTTTATCATATGCTTTGCGGGAGAATATCTTAGTCTTAAGGTCAGTAATTACGATATATTGTAAAAAGTTATTACACTAAAGGCTTAAAAAGTACATTCGATATTATATAGGCTGTATTCCAATATTTCGTTGCCAGTACTGAAAATCTATAGTTTACACCATGAGCGCCGTACACTATACATTTTCAGTATTGGCAGTGGATATCGGACGCAGCCATAATAAATGATATATATTTTTATTCCATAAAAAAAATGGTAGGACTTGACAATGGTAGACTAGAAAAAAAGCTCTTCTTTCAGATAAAAGATTTGTTTGGGTCGAGAGAAAAAAATACTGTCCCGCTATTTTTGACATAATTTACATTATTTTTAGAGTAAATCGATCGCTGATGCAGCGTACGAATCGTTGTGGTATGATATGCCGCCAAATCAGAGTAAAACTATATCGTTCATGATAATGAGATCCCAGAAACAATTATCGATTACTGCGGGAAAAATGATGGATATGTCATTCGAAGCCTTAACAAGTGTAATCATACGCAACCTTCTTGAGCAATAATTATTAAATAAAAAGCTTTATTATGCTTACGATTGATTTTTATGTTTGTTACGATATGTTTTCTTTATGTCTAGACATAGAGGAAAGTCCCCTATTATGAGATAGGCTTCTAATGTGAGATAGCGGTTTTCAACATCCAAATTTAATTACAAATTTTCCACTAAACAAATTTTACTCCAAGGGCAGTAAATTTATGATTAAACCAACAGACGATGCCTATTAATTTAGCAGAAACTCCGTTATCTCATTTTGACAGTCTATCTCGTAATAGGGGATTTTCCTCTATATATATAGGCTGAAATTAATTCTTTAACATCCATTTGTTTAGATCATGAAGGCATCGGCGTCATATGTATCTGTCTTGCATGCGATGTATTGATACCAAGAGAAATGCAATAGTGATTTGTGAAAATTATAATTAAATTAGTGTAAAGATAATTTATAAACTATTAACTGTTTGAAAGAGTTAATTATTAAATCTGTTGAGCTTTCTATGATGTTTTATTGATTTAAGTTTCTCTCTGCTGTCAAATTTTCGTTGTAGTTCGCGGTCTTTCGTGGTCTGGTACATCATTTTGGTACAATTACCGAACACCCAGACGGATAATAAGCTATCTCGAATTACTGTGGGGCTATGCAGCACATAACTGGGATTGATTGATTGGTGCTCGAGGGATATAGCATATCGATCGTTTGAGGATTGCTAGGTAATTTCAGTGTATTATGCAGATTAACTCATATGAATGTGCGATACTGATCTTCGTGCTCTCCTGTATCAGGTGTTGTTAACGTAATTCTGAGTTGCTTATTCACGTGTCTTCTGACAATGAATTTCGAATTGCGGAGTGGTAACCGTGGAGATCATGGGTTCCCCGCTCGACATAGACCTTATATTGTTTAATAGTAAGCACGTTTCAGTGTAGCTCAAGTTTGCTATATATTGGTGCTGAAATATATGGCCGATTGAAGTTGTAAATAGTGGCGGGTTTTACAAAACTTGGGTTGGAGAACGAATGGTACGAGTGAAATAATGCCGATCGGCATTTACGCTTAACGACCACCAAAACTAATATTTCACGTTTTTGCTCCCATGCATGTTGAGCATCAATGTGTCATTCGCAATACTGCACTGGGTGTGCTATGCGATTCCGGAATTTGATGGAAAAACGCAATAACGTGTCATGATAACTTTCTATTAAATTAGAAATTCCCTTTGAGGCTGATATTTGCCTTATATGTTAGAAAAATGCAATAGTTGTGATTGTAAATATACATACAGTTAATTCGGAAAAATCTTACTTTTTTACAAACTTTGTTATTAAAAAATACTTCATCTATTAAGTTTGTTAACATTTGTTAAAAATATTATATTTAATATCACTTTGCAGGTTTTTATATTACATTAAATTAAGTTACTTTTAATAACAATAAAAATAGCCCCAATTTTCGTTCATATTATTTACACGTTTATATTACAGAGATACGATATTTAAAAAAAAACTGACTTTTCAATCGTGTCATACGCGTTTCTATCTTGCTAATTTCTTGCCAGTCTACGCATCGTACTTTCTTCTATTTTTCCTCTGAAGTTTCCTTAGACTTCTTTGTCTACTTTTATTGTTTCTTCTCGATATTACAGGTAATACGATTATTAGATACGTACAAGTATACGTGATCGAAGAAAAATCTACATTTAAAATAAAAATTGCTACCTCTTGCTTGAAGGGAAGCCTGTTGATCGCTTGTTGCCCCCCACAATCTTTGAACGGCCCGTGCTTGAGTCGTTCAACGTGTAATTACGATAGATCGATGACTGTTCCCGCTTTCGTCGTCCCCTCTGCGATCGGTCAATACTCTTATCGTCATTACGCGACGTACAATAGATCAATCAACGTACAAGTTTCACGCATAATACACCGTCGCTCATATCGCTCATATCATTTAAGTATGTCGGTTATGATAGTTATGTATATTTCATGTATATTTTTAAAACATAAATAATTTTTCAATACCTAGAAATGCTTCCCCGCCGGAAATAATTCTACAAAATTCTACAAAAAATAAAATATACTACAAAAACTATAAAATATAACTGCCAGAATCTAAGGAATTCTACGTAAGTTTAAAAAGTGTTATAAAAATCGACATAAAAATGTTAGAATTGGAACACTTTTGTTAATTTTTGTAATGTTCTACAAGTAAGCAGATGTTTTAATTCTTTAAGATTTTGTTGTTTCTCAAATTTTTAAAGCTAGTAAAGTTTTGTACTAATTTTTACAAAATTGTACAATTTTTATGAAATACTACTTGCAGTAATTTTTTGATTTGAGAACATTGTAATTTGTGATACTATTTCGTAGGCAGATATTTTTACAAAAAAATAAATGTTTCAACGAAGATATAAACATTTCTACAAATTTCTATTTCAAGTCAATTTTTGTATAGTTATGATATTTATAGAAATTTTTTCCGCCAGGTTTTGAATATAACTTTTGCTTAACTATTTTAAAACTGTTTCAAATCTTTGGCTGAATTGAATTAAACGTGGTTTAATAAGGGATGAGTCAGAAAGGTACACCTACGTTATTTTTCGATCTAACAATATCGTTGCGGCAAAATGTCAATTATTTCATTATCCTTATATTACATCACCCATAAAATTAATTAATTATAAATAAATAAGGGAGAAATAGAATATCATCACAATTTCTTCTCACAGGAAGTCCATATTTGATCCTTCATATTTTAAAACGCTCTGGCGACAAAGGCATTTACTCACCGTAAAATATTCATCTTTTCTACAACGTTCGTATTTCGAAGTTCTTTCATGTTTCAAATCTGACGTTTATTCAACCTGTAAGAATTCTTTCTCAAACAGCTCGTAAATGTAAAAGATGTCGTAAAGACGTTCGAATAGAGCGTTTTTCGGACTTTCCTTTAGACACCTTTTATATTTTGGCGTTGCTTACGTTGTGCATGTACATCTTTCACTGTAACAGATACTTTTGCGTAAAGTATTTCACAAGATTTTAGAGAGATTATTGTGTGTGTGTGTGTGTGTGTGGGAAGAGTACACTCCCCTATACTGTTAACTCACGCATATATCTGATAATAATTTACATCAATTTATGACGCGTTGATGCTTTAACATTTTAATGTTCATTAGCATATCTCAACACTCTCGGAGGTCTCATTCAGTGCTCAGCGAAGGGTGAGGATAATTCTCGTAGGACCAAACTCGATTTTCCCCTCAAAATGGAATTTCTCTTTCGAGATTAATGAATTCTCATCTTTGAGATCATAGCAGTAGATCAGTTTCTCTATGAATTGTTTTTTTTTTCGTTGGTCGCAATGATCAATTCCTTGGTCGTTACACTGATGAGTTCCAATCAGTTTCTTTGCGGCGTTTAACAATAAGATTATTTTTTTATGTTAGTAAAGACAGGTCATATATTAATCCAGTATTCGCGGATTCTTAGTGAGCAGAGATGTAGCATAACAAAGTCTAACACAAATCTCTTTGAAAAATTATCAGGATTCTTCGTTTCTACCGGAGGCCTTATTTTAAACATTTAAAGCATCAAATAATCATTCCATTGTCTGACAGGAACAAAGACTTCTCCTAGATTGTATTGATGCAGTTCTTATCTAATAATATCTGATGACTCAGGATTCATCGTAAGTATACATAAAATTTATAAATAATGAATAAGGTCACAAATTCAGAATTAATTTTAATTTAAAAAGAGATAGAAATAAATTTTTTCGACCAATTTTGTTATTATTATTAAGCCGATTTTCTTACTAACAATAAGTCTTATTATAAAATATTATCTTGTAATTATTATTAAGCAGGTGATATTAAAAAAAATATTAATAGTGCGAAGTTTGCTTAGCTGTTGCATAACTAATTTATATTATTTACTCATTCTTACTACCAGTAACAATCAAAGTACAATAGTAGAGGAAAGTCCCCTATTAAGATAGGATCTTAATATAGGATAGCGGGGTTTCTGTTAAATTAATAGGCGTCATCAGTTGATTCCACAATGAATTTACTGCCACAATGAAAATCTGTTTAGTAGAAAATTCATTGTTAGACTGTGTCTATCTAAAATCTAGAATCGTTGCGAAAAAAGATTTGTGATTTAATTTAGATGTTGAAAACCTGCTACTCATATTAGAAACCTGTCTCATAATAGAGGACTTTCCTCTATTGATGAAAACCAGTTTTGTTTTATGTCGGAAGAGTTTCTTGCCCGCCAAGGATCTTAGCACGAAGGTTATTACATTGAATCTGTATTTTATTGGAGCAATCTTATTTCTTCATAAATTGCTGTGTTAATAGGCAATTTTGCGAGCACTCAGCTTTACAAATTGCTGCTACATAAACGTATCTGCATCAAATTTTTTTCGAGAGAAAGAATATTCGTTCTTGTTCGACATTCGTAGAGCTCGACTGGTTGTTTTTCAGTGTAAATCGATTGGAGACGCCGTCTACAAGTCCGTCTGGTACAATATGACCCAGCACTGGCACTGGCCGAACTCTTCTGCTTGCGATTGCGAGGTCGCAAAAGAGATTGACGATCACAGCCGAAAAAGTGATGGATCTTTTGCTGAAGGGATTCACCGGCGTAAGATCTATTCTCATACATACCAAATGTTGCTCATGGATATTAAACGCGTCTCGAATGAATACCAAAGCTGCCTGGGCAAACGTTTTATGATGCAAACGATTTAGCGACCTCCATGACTATGCACACACCCGATATGATACTTACAATGAAAAGTGTCTTTCCGTATACAAGTCATAAAAACTTCTGTTTCGTACATATCGATGTTGCATGCAATTATTAGAAGAAGTGACAACCTGGATACGAATATCAATGACAACTGTCGTACTTGCCCGTGCACGGAGAGAATTTTCTCGTAAAATTTATCCTGAAAATCATGTAATCGTGGAACAACGTGACACTTTGAGGAACTTTATAAGAGTTTTTGAAACTTTACCATACATTTTACTAGTAAAATGTATACTAACAAGCATAATTACTAGTAAAATGTATGGTAAAATTTCACAAAGCTCTCATAAAGTTTCTTGAAATGCCGTGTTGTCCCACAATTACATGATTTTCAAGGTAAATTTTAAGAGAAAATTCTCCCCGTGTATTCTTGATGAAACTGAATACATAGAATGTGCGCAAAGTTTGAAATATAAACTCTCTGAAATGTTATCGGTTGTAATATTAATCACCAGACGAACCTCAGCACATATTTATTTCTTTAACGCGACGTAATATTAAAAGTGCGTTAACGCTACTGACGAATTATTGCGAAAAAACAAAATTTATTCGACAATGAGATGTCTGTTCGAATAATCTTTTTAAAGGAAATTCATAATATCGATAAATAATCTTCTCTGACCTTTCTGTGGAGCACGTGAATGTGATCGAGCGATAATTCCACGTGAGTTTCGTTTTTACAAAACAACAATGCACGATTTAGATCTTCTCATAAGTCTCTTTGTAGCAACACTCCCTTTCCTTCGCTCTTGTGCTTCTCAAGTCTTTCAACGCGTCTGACATTGTGCACATGCGCTCAACGGATCTTTCATTTTTTTTTTATTAAACGAATAACTTACGTTCCCTTCCTCGTAACGTTCAATACACGTCGCCTCGAATTATGCTCTTTCTTGTCTGTAACCTGTAATCATCGTGAAAATGTAACGTACGCTTCTTTTTTGCCGCTGCATCAGAAACGGCAAGAACACACGTAATTGAGATTGATTGATAACGATCGACGAAGGGGCAACGCATTGTTGCCCCGCGCATTGCGACCGGAGTTATAGCTCGTCGAAACTCAATGCTTAATTTCCGAGTAACGTAGCACGCACGATAATCGTTTTGCCTTTGACGAAGAAACGTCGCGGTGGTCCGATCCCATGCGAGATAATGCGCGCAACTTCCATCAGCACCTCCGTCGAGCTCGGCCTGCGCTTTGTCGGGATCTGGCCTGGTTTGCCGTACGGAACCACCATTTGGCTCGCGTATATGACAAGCTTAGTGTTCGCGCTGTACTTTCAGTACGCGTACATTTTCGGTCACTTCGACGTCAGCAACATCTCGAATCTCATCGACGCGCTCAGTATCACATTGGCTTATAGTCTCGGCTTCCTGAAGCTGATCTCTCTCTGGTTGAACCGCAGGTAGGGACGATTCCTCGATGTAAATGACAGGAGCGACATGTTCCGATGCAAATACGCGAGCAACTTTGTACAGAATATTTTATGATATCCTGCTAGCGATGGAGGAAGACTGGGGCAACATTGGTGTCTACGACAAATCGGTGTCGTACGCCATGGCGAGCAATGCTGATCTGTCGCGTCGATGCTCGAACGTGTTGATCAGCATTAACGCTATGGCCGCAATTTCCTACTCCACGAGCAGTCTTCTGCGTCGCACGGCCGACCTTAGAGAGGATCTCAACGCTAGTTCAAGAGTGCTACCTATAAAGATGGAATTTCCCTTCGAAGCTGACGCGTCTCCCCTCTTCGAACTTTTAGCGGTCAGTCAGGTTTTTCATGTAGTGTCGATCGCCGCTTTAGTCGCTATGATAAATTGCTTGATCATCACGTTGGTGAGTTCCACCGATCATATGAGTGATGCATGGCTTTTGAAGATTTATTAGCTTCATATCTTCCCTGTAACATGCTCTCCCTTGCGAGACGTTGTTATCCGCTAAATGTTGATTGAAAGTAAGATCGATTTTTGTCTTTTTCTAATTTTGCAACTGGAATTTGGATACTTTCGAAAAGGACTTGCGTCAATAGTCGCAGGTTCTTTCTGTGGAGTCTACTAATAGTCACGTTTAGGTACTTCACGCGAGCGGGCAAATCGATATTCTTCGTCGAGAATTACTGACAATTTGCGGCGACGGAAGTTCGCAGCGCGATTCAATCGTCACGAGTGTCAAGCTTCTGATTAATCGGCACCAAAGAATAATCATGTTCTCGGGCAATATTGAAGAGCTCTATTCCGACATCGCGCTGATGCAGTTCCTATCGAATACCGTGGTCATCTGTTGCATCGGCTTCAGCATCATAGCAGTAAGTCGCGTCGTAAATTAATAAGGTATAACTGTAGTATTATTTTACAATTTTACACTAAACGTATTAAATACTTTCCGAGCTCTCTGCCACCTTCTTGTAGTCTCTCGCTAAAGACGGGGCTACCGTGGTGATGTTAAAATCCGCTATTTTTTACGTCGCCGTAACGTTGGAAGCCTTTATCTTTTGTTTCACTGGAGAATACCTCAGCGCCAAGGTTCGCACAATATTTTATCTTACACGTGCAATATTCTATTTCATTCTTCGCGGCCGCTGGCAATCAATTTCAAACTTTTTGTTTCTTCTGCAGAACAATTTGCCTCGATCAATTTAATATATGTAATATATGTATAATAAATTAATCGACGTAAATTGTTCCGTAACGAACGAAGTAAATATATTTACTTTACGACTGTTGTATTTATAAAAAGTTCACAAACTTTCAAGGAAACTCTCAGATGATGTCACTTAGAATCCGACTTAAAATCGAACTGAGATATATTAATAGACGTTTTCTTCGCGTTTCTACTTTTTTTTCAGAGCAAATCGATTGGCGATGCAGTCTACGAAGCGCTTTGGTATAACATGACACCTGCCGAGTGTCGGATTCTATTATTTGTAATATTAAGATCGCAGAAGAGATTAACAATCACTGCTGGTAACGTCATGGACCTTTCTCTAGTAGGATTTACGAGCGTAAGAATCTTGCCTTGCGAATGTATACTATAACAGGATGAAACGTCAAGATGTTTAATGTTTCTTAAGACAAAGTAGAAAATGATACGCGGTCTATTACACGAGTGAAACGAATCGTTTTATTTCGACTAGGTGATGAAAGCATCCGCTTCGTACATGTCGGTGCTGCACGCGATGTATTAAACGAGATTAGTGGATAACAATTACTTGTGCCAAGCGCATCCATCGTGATTACCGGCATATTGGACAGTAGCAAGTGTAGCATTGCAAATAGCTGGAGTGAAAATCATTCTAAAAATGCGAGCGAGAAAATATACTTTATAAGAAAATGTAGAAATGAATAAAAATAGAAAAACGTTTGTCTTTTGGAGAAAACGCAATAAATCATTTCAAAGATATTTCTGACTTTTAAAACGTATAGAAAGGATTTTCAACGCGCTACTTTCTACTTCAGGTCACTCGTATTCTTGCTTTGTATCGACGATGTCATTAGCTTTGCTAAATAATTTTAGACGCTCATATATATTTTACACGGAGAGAATTTTGTCTTAAAATTTATCCTGAAAATCATGTAATCGTGGGACAAACATGGCATTTCTAAGAATTTTATGAGAGTTTTTTGAAATTTTACTACACATGTTACTAGCAAAATGTATGATAAAATTTCAGAAAACTCATAAAGTTCTTTAAAATTCCGTGTTGGTCCATGATTACATGATTTTCAGGATAAATTTTAAAAGAAGATTCTCTCCGTGTACAATTCAAAAGATCATAAATAGGGTAAAGCGGAGCTATTTCGCGCAACCTAAAAGAATCAAATAGAAAATTTTCAAAACAAGCTGTTCAATTCTTAAGAAAGGGGCTATTTTGAAAGTGTTTTATTTGATTTTTTTTTAACTGACAAGTGAAATAGCCTCGCTGTTCTAAATTTCTGTAGAACATAATTCGCATGCAAAGACTCCAGCTTCGCCTTTTTTTTTATGCTATTCTGCAAACTCACTGTTCCACGTACTTACTCGCTTGTAGTAACAACAGGTATACCCGCTGCGAATAATTATTTCTTCCCCCTCGCTATGGACGTCCGATCCGGACGTATCAATTTAACTTTCCTGCGTGGCTCACGTGTCATTTTCCACATTTTACCGTTTTAAAGCGGCCTGATCTAATCAACCATTATTATAATGCACGATCTCCCGAGGGTGCGCGCACGGTTTCTGAATTTTTAAGGTTCGAGGTAATCCCGGAGACAATGCACTCTCCGCTGTCCCTGCTCGCTCCTTTTTTTTTCCCCCCCTCGTTATCTATACCCGCACTTATCTTACTTGACTGTTGCGCCCGTCTTTATCCGGCAATTCTTCCGTCGCGATGGGAATATCTTGCCGGTACTTCCTATTGGTTCACGTCGACGTCAAGGTGGGGGATCGGCGGTGCTCAGCGACTCTCCCGTAGTTCATCCGCGTTCATCCCCCGTGTTCATCCATGTGTTCAACATCGTTGCATGAAGTGCACGGTTGGATCTTCGACGAAATATCAAAGTTTCACGATGGCGCCGATGTAAGGAGGCGTCTCGGTTGGAAATACTATTCGAAGGTGGAGCTTCGAGAATGGACCCGAAAACCGATTCGACGATCCTCGATGGCACCGTCAGCCGTTCGATCGAGATCGGTCTTCGCGTGATAGGCGTTTGGCCCGATTCGTCCTGCACGGTCCTTCGTCGCGCCTTCTGGATGATCACCCTGACGATGGCGCAGACTTTTCAGTATCGATATTTCGTCATACACGTCCGCACGGACGACCTGTCGCATCTGATGGATGGCCTCAGCACTACGATGTCCTATAGCCTCCTACTATTAAAACTTATGATATTTTGGGTCAACCGACGGTGAGCCCCACTTATCCACGTTATGAAACGAGCGACGTCTTTTCATACGTTTCGAAAAATCGAGCTTAGAGTCCGATGTTTTTTTGAAAATAAAATAAAAGTCAGATTCGCATGTCGACGTACAAATATGAAGCTGAACTTGTGCAGTCACGTGATATTCAATCGTCGTACATGCGTCATGTTAGTACGCGAAATATGTGAAGAGAGTAAAGTGAAGATTGTCACGTTCTTTTATGATCACAAGACAATTTGAGAGGCAGGTCTTCATGTTTCTTCGCAGGATATTCTACGACATCCTGGCAATGATGGCCCGCGACCGGAGCGAGCGTGTGGCCGAGTGGGCCGCCTGCTCGATGTCGAGGACGACTGATGTGTCGCATCGGTCCTCCAACCTGATCATCGGTCTCTATTCGATGTCAGTGTTTCTTTACGGCACCGGCGTACTCGTCGCTCACCCCGACGAGTCCGACGAACAGCTCGCGGTGCCGGCGCGAGAGCTGTTTCTCAAAATGGAGCTACCCTTCGAATACAATGTCTCCCCTGCGTACGAGCTCGTTATGATCACGCAATTTTTCCACCAGCTCGCGGCAGCTACGATAGTCGGCGTACTTAACGCTCTAATTGTCTCGCTGGTAAGTGAGCACGCTTTAAAGTGACGAAGATGACTGACTTGAAAAAAAAAACGCTTGATAAGTTTAGAAGAATTAAACCTTGTAGCTTTTGAACAAATCTCGTTGGAGTCAATATACCGTTGACTGTGCTCTTCGAGTAAGTTTCTCGAATTGTTTTTTTTAAGAAAAAGAGGCAAAAATTGTTTTTTCACTCTAAACTTACACAAAAAAAAAGAGTCAGACAGATTGGATTTTAATTCCAAAACATCCGTAATTAAATTAATATGTATCGCGCCAAATGTACAATTATACCACGTGGAGATGGTAATTTATATAAGTAGCTTAGTAGAATAATAAAATAATTTCGATTTTATCTCTCGCGTGTCGCGCATTATTCGTGGTAATGAGTATTCTGTATCATCCGCGCGATTAATAACTTACTTCGTTTACTTCATTTATGCGTAATGAAAAGCGTTCTGGTGAGCCTGATCGATAAACGATAATGTGGAGTATAAGCGTCTCCATATCTCTGCAGTTAATTTCCACGGTTTTTTTTACAATAATCTATATACCTAAAGTGATGCAATTCTTTTATTTTTAGACTTCAATATTATTTATATATATATATGCATATTGCTTACTACATATATTTAATCTTAAAGTAAAATATCTTTGCAATTAATTGCACATTGCCTTTGCACAAGAAAAGAGACACAAGTCAAAAATATGAGTTTGCGTATTTATAATTCATCAACTCGAAAAGGTATATACTTTTATCTCCAAAGAAACATCATGAGTACAGTTGCGAAAATTTTGTCCAAAAAGGATCACTGGAAAGATTGCGTTCATTCAAAAGTAACGACAGTAAAGAGAAGGGAGTTTAAAAGGAAAATACGATTGTCACATCATGTAGAAAGATCTATCGAGATAAGAAAATGAAAAAGATAAAAACAATTTAACAGACTATGTAATTGTAACAGTACACGATTTGCAAGCGGATTGAAAGTAATTGAAAATCGTTCTTCTGTAAAATTGCTACTTTTGACTTTTCTTGTGCAGTCGCAATACATCATATATTACATTCTATATTTATATATATTATATATTTTTAATTTAATATTAATTAAATTCTAAAAATTTCTAATTCTAAGTCATGATAGAACTTACTTTTCTTGTTGCTCCTTTTGTTCACAAGTTGTTCTTTGCAATGAATTGCGGTATCGAGAACACACTTGCAGGGCGTTGACCGTTATTTTTAGATCCTTCACGTAGGTGGGCAAATCGATATAATGTGCCGAGGGTTGGTGGAAATCTCCTCAGGTGACGACACGTTGGACTTACGGACCTCGACCATCAAAGCTCTAATACGTCGACATCAGAGAATTATCGCCCTTTCGGCTGACATCGAGACTCTCTTCTCATACATAGCTCTGATGCAGTTCATGTGGAACACTTTGGTCATCTGCTGCCTTGGATTTCTAATCGTGACTGTGAGTAACCCTGTTTAAGATAATAGATAGAATATGATCAGATTACACTAGATTACATGCAATTTCAATGTAAATCAATAAGAATCTTCTTGATTACATTGAAATTGCATGTAATCTAATGTAATCTGATCGTATTCTATTTAATATTTTAAACAGGGAATGCTTCGTGAAGTCGAAGATGCACGCGCAGTTAATATAATATATATGATGCAATACATAATATTAAATTGCCATTACACAAAACGTTTTTATATAAAATGGTCGGCTCATCGACATGCAATAAAACAAAATATTCTCGTACCAGAGAACATCCAAAATAATTGATGGTGCTCGGTGTAGATTTTTAGAGTACTCTTATTTTGCTCGCCATTCAGAGCTTTTGACATTTGATATTATTTCCGATCATATTACAGGCGATCGGCGACGCGCAAGGATCGACGATGTTGATTAAATCTCTCTTTTTTTACGCTGTTATCACTTTGGAGGCCTTCATATTTTGTTACGCTGGAGAATATCTCAGCGCCAAGGTCAGAACGATGCAGTATTATCTTTAGGATTTCAATATTTTCTATTCACAAATATAAATAATGCAATGAAACTTTGATATAATATATCAAAGTTGTATAATTAAAATTATTAGAAGAAAAATATTGTGCGCGCACGCATTAAACAGTTATCGTATAGATGTAATTTCTATGTTAGTTGCAAATTTCCTGTACACAATTTCATTATCACAATACACTTCTTTAATATTGAAAAACCTTATTAAAAATATCATTAAAAAATTTTTTGAGAAATTTGCCAGTGAAGATATGCACATTGCAGAATAATAATCTCTTTTCCAAATTTAGTAGCTATATGTTTTTCATTATAATTCTAAATAAACTTAATCGTTCACTCGATTGCAGGGCAGAATGATCGGTGACGCAGCGTACGAAGCGAAGTGGTACAACTCGAATCCCAGGCAGAGTCGTATTTTATTATTGCTGATTTTGAGATCGCAAAGAAAGTTAACTATTACAATCGGAAAATTTATGGATCTCTCTCTAGAACGTTTCACAACAGTAAGATGTGCTTTCAGAACGTTTTGCTCTCTAAAAGTCAATCCGTGGATTATCACTGAAAACAGTGAATACTCACCGATTCACAGTTATAAGTGTAACACCGAATTATTCAGTGCTATACTTACAACTGCTTTCAGTGATAATGCACTGGTTGACTTTTAGAGAGTGCCTGTGTCTGTCATGGACTGTGCGTATCTTGAAAGCGGATACGTACATTGCCAACTTTGAATTTGATTTATAAATTAACAGAAAACAACGTATTTTTATATACACATGTAAAGAGAATATATCACTATTTTTTTTTAGTTTTATCAAATTTTTATATCAGCTTTATCGATGAAAAATATGTTTTACCGCGTTTTAGTGGCTGTTACAAAAATACGACAAGTTCTACCTTCTTTCTTCTAGATTATTAAGGCATCAGCGTCTTATGTATCCGTGCTGCATGCTATGTCTTGAAAGCCGTGTAGAGTTGAAAAAGCAGTACCCTCCGTGTGTTTATGTAGCTATTGTGTTATAAGAAACGTAACATATCGCGAATTCCAGTAACTAATTAACGTTCCACGAACTTGAATGTCCTTATGTAAAACTACATCAATATATCTCATTCGATTCGATAATGACATTGTTCTTTTTATAGATAAATGTCTCTATGCGTTGCACGACGTCCTTCCCACATCATCGCAAACGTCCATTCCCGCTTTCTTCTTTTCGATATGTATCTTTATAAATTTATTTTCCACAATTCCCGTTCTTTGTTTCTTCGTGCCCTTCGAAAGTTTTAAGTATTCCACGCACGCATTTAGTACTCGCGTGTGTTCGGCGCACGTACATTTCCCTTGCATTTTTAATGCAAATAACGGATAGCGACCGAGCGATGCGCACACGAGGGTGTATTGGACGCTTTCTGTCCATCTCTTTTTGTAATTATCGAGGTAACGTTCTATATTTTTACTCGTGATTTTTAAGACACGATGAAAAAAAGAATACGACGAGAATAAATAATTACTCTCTCCTGCACACATAGTCAAAGTAGAGTCAGCCGAGTGCTGAACCCGCAGTCTTACCAAGACTTCTCGATCGACCGTACCTGAAAACTGACTTAGGACTTTCGATCATACAGTCAGAATTTCGCTTTCTATAATATTTCGAAATTTAACATCTTTCTAGTGCAGCTCATTGTAGCTTCAGCAAAGAATATTTGAGTTGTACCGATTGTTCGGATTAAATAATTTGTTAATAAATCAAGTCTTACGTTATAGTCGTAAGTATCTACAATGTAGACAGAGAGAGGAAAATCGAGAATTAGTGATAATCCACGGTGTAGTCGCATTGAAGGAGTGTCCGAGCGATGGAGAACGAAATAGATTCGATGACCACCGTGTCTCGCTCCGTGGAATACGGGCTTCGTGCAATCGGTGTATGGCCGGGCACATCGTGCGCAATTTTACTTAAAGTCCTCAGCATATTGTCGATGATCGTGTTTCAAGCCTTACAATATCAACACGTGATCGTGCACTTTGGCGAGGAGGATCTGACGATTCTCATGGATGCACTAAGTGTAACTTTCGCTTACACCCTTCTGCTTATTAAAATGCTTATTTTCGCATTCAATGACCGGTAAGCTTTTCCAACATGATATACCGAGCACAGAATTAAATGCGATTCGCGTAAAGCAAAGCGTCGTCTACATCTTTCGTTCTATATCTCAGGCTATCAAAAGAATTGTTTTTCATTTATATAATTTTACCATTAATTCATATAACTACGGCATCCTGTGAAGTAGACATCTCTGAGTTTTTGCGCAATCACGTCAATATATTTTTTAAATGATCCATTATAGTCTGCTGAATGAAATCATGACATGTATGAGCAAGGACTGGAAGGAATGCGATATTTCGGGCGAGTACACGATGACCAGAATAGCTTACGTCTCTCGTTGGGTCTCCAACGTTATAATCTTCTCGCACATGATGTCCGTATTCCTCTACGCGATAGGCACATTAATGAAGATCAAAAACGAAAATCAAACCGACAATCGCGAGCTCATCATCAAGATGGAGATACCCTTCGAAATTGAAAGCACCTCAGTACACGTAGCTGTCCTCGTTACGCAATTCATTCATCAGACGAGTGCGGCCGGTATGGTGGGCGTGTTGAACTCTTTGCTGATAATATTGGTGAGTTTAGGCGTTTGTGATTTTCCGGCATTCCTGGAACATGTAAAAAAAAATAATTAAGATACGACACTAAGAAGGAAGATTCGGGCAATTTAAAACATTTTTTACATATATACAGCGAAAAAGACATATTTCATTATACAAAATGTTATTACACAAATATAATTATTTGTGAAGTGAAGTTATGCAAGCAGACATTAAAAAGTACATTTTTTTGTAAAGCGTAAATTATTATTAGGCACTAAGATCCAGCATAACCTTTTTACCGTGTGATTTACTTAAATATCGACGACCGAATATTATCTTTTATTTTCGTTCGATACATTGATTCAAATAAACGAAATAAACGAGCGCAAGTAAACATAAATGAACATCATTGGCTCTTGTCGTTCGCACTCATTGAAGCGAGCTGCTCGTTCGCGTTTGCTTGCATTCATGTGCTTCGAATCTAGATTAAGATGTTAAAATTGGACTGAAAATACACATTGCGATGTTTAGGTTCTTCACGTGTGTGGACAGATTGATATAATGAGACAAAAATTGAGCGAAATTTCACAGAAGGCCATCAGGCGGAAGCATACCGAGCAGGATGTAAACGAGGACGTCGTGAAAACGCTGATCGTCCGGCATCAGGAGATTATCACTTTCTCCAAGAACATCGAGGCTCTTTATTCAAATATCGCACTAATACAATTTGTATCGAACACTCTGGTTATCTGTTGTTTGGGATTTCTTATCGTGATCGTAAGTATCCTGAAATAATATTAATATTGTCGAGGCGTAAAATAATATAAAATTTCAGTCTATCGGTGTGCCGGGTGGCTCGATGATGTTAGTGAAATCCGTGTTCTTTTACATTGTTATGAGCCTAGAGGCATTTATATATTGCTTTGTCGGAGAACATCTCAGTACAAAAGTCCGTATACAATATACTATAACAAATATGTATCTAATATACGACTTGCTGCTCTACGATGAAGATTCAATGTATATTTTAGGGCGAATTGATCGGCGACGCGGCGTACGAATCGCTTTGGTACGAACTTAACCCGAGTCAAAATCGAGACATCCATATTATAATCGTAAGGTCCCAAAAGCACTTGACGCTTACAATAGGAAAAGTCGTGGAACTCTCTTTGAGACAATTCGCTAACGTAAGAATTTAAGTTAAATAACGGAAGTGACGGTGAAACGTTACGTTACTGTGCACGGATTGTTGCCACGAGTAACATTTCGACAAACGTTTCCCAATCGTTGCGTCCTAATATGATATTCGCGTACGATAACCATAATCGCTTCTACCATATTATAGATCGTGAAAGCTTCGGCGTCGTACGTGTCGGTGTTGCATGCGATGTATTGAAGTCTAAAAGTACTTTGTACGCCTCTTATATCTTCGCATGCAGAAGACTATAGTACTTTTACACGATTGACAATTTTCCTGTTCAGAGAATCGACTGGGGTTTCATATCGAATGTACGCGAGCAGAGGAGCAAGAAAATTATTTACCGAAGCATCGATTCGTAATAATCGTACTTGGTTTGTGGTGCATAAGCACAGAGCTATAAATACGACGTTGATTCTCTCGATCGATGTACTTCGCCAGGTCCGATAAAATCAAAATAAAAGTATTTCTTAAAAACAGAAACTTAATTTAATTATCGAATGCCACTTAAGTTCTGTATGCTGACTAAATCAAATTTCGAGGATACGTCTTCATCTTTAGCTTTCCTGTATTGTATGTAAAATTAATTTCAAGCGTGTATAAAAATATATCGGAATATATCTTTATGTAAAAAATATGAAAATATATAAAATATATTTATACGTGTAGTATAAAATTACAAAAATTGTTATCCTTTTCAATTGGATTTTGCTTTCAATAAAGTTAATTGTATAATAAAATATTATTTTATGACGAAAAATTAGATATACCATATATTTATTAACCGTATTTGTATCATATTTCCTATATATATGATTTTTACTGCATTATTACCGTAAATTCATTGGCTTGAGGTTCTCGACTGAAGGTGTAGCGTGAAACTACTATTGTACAAAAATAATGTTACGATATTACGAAGTACTTATCTTCATTACAGGAACATGTCACTCGCCGCGCTGCCGTTTATTCGTCACGTGCTCTAGCCTGCAGCGCCGTTGTCATCAGATCCTTCTCAGAATCACTCACAGCACCGTGATCCTCGCGCTGGTCTTTTTATCGTAACAAAGTCTCGAAGTACGTCTTCGTTTTTCTCCCTAAGAAACCCTCCCCAATATGCTTCCCCAGTGGGGAGCACCTCAACAAGCGGTTCTTGGAAGCTGTGTTCCACCTACCTTGCTCATTGCATTTTTAAAGAAAACGCGCATTTGCTGCATCATGATCGCCAACTCGATGAATGGAGGGGATGACCCCACCGTTCACCTTCATCGTCCATCAAAACTACAGTTGCGGTTCTTCCGCAGTACAAATATATGTTTAACAAATATCAATGTATTAACAACTGATAAGATAGGATTGCGTTTATTTGTGTTGACTCGAGAAATAAAAGGCATAAAAGTTTCTTATAGTCTTTCGGGGAAATGCGGTCGTTTCTTCGCACGGTTCAGTTCGGCCATCACGTCCGCCTTTTTCGTCATCGTGTCATTTCTATCGCGCTACTTAAATTTTGCCAGATAGTGATGCTGACAATGAGTACAATTCAAGTCTCTTAGTACCGGCATACAATGAACGTTTGTCTTACATTTTTTATGCAAATAATGAACAGCGACCAAGGGATGTGTAGAGTACATGGAAAACTTCATTGCTGCCTCCACTTGTCTTTTCTTGCAACCGCCGCAATTATTGAGACATCGATTTACAATTTTTCCTCGTGACTTCTGAGATAGAAAGAAGTAGAATGTGAATAATTCTATTGGTCGGCTACAACCGAGGTGGGGATTACTCGAACAGTCAATTGGATACATTCTGCCGTTAGAATTTTACAGTTTCACTGAGACCTCTTGACCGATCATATCTAGGGAGGAAGTCAAGTTACGACTACTGTCAACTATGTTGTAGCTTAAAGTTCCGTTTGCTTTTTGGCTCTAAAGCGAAGGGAGCTCCGTCAGTACCGCTGTTTTAGTGGAAAAAATTTTACGCTGTGTTACATTAATTGTACCAAGTGCTGTTACGTTAGCAATTTGATATACATTTCTGGATTATGTCACCACTTATAATGTAGACGGAGAAGAAAGGAGAGAATTGGTTAGAGTTAGTGATAAACCGTACTGGTAATCGTGCTGAAAAAATTCAAACTTATTCGGAATCAATGAATAACGAGAAAAAATCAGCGAATACTGTATGCCGCTCCGTGGAGTTCGGTCTTCGCGTGATCGGTGTATGGCCGGGTACGTCCTACGCAATTTTGTGCAGAGTCTGCAGCATATTTTCGATGGCGCTGTTTCAGACCTTTCAATATCGATACTTGATCATGCACTTCGAAGAGAGCAACATTTTTCTCTTAATGGACGTGATAAGTGCAACACTGGTTTATAGTCTTCTGTTTATCAAATTAATTATTATCGTACTCAATGTTCGGTAAGCTTCCTCGTCACGATGTACGTTAAGTATAAAATCAAGTACGGCCACAAAACAAGCACATCTTAGGTCGTTCATTCTAGATCTCAAGCTAGTAATCGCGCAAGAAAGAAAATGCTTTGAGTAACTTGCCGAATTAATTTGCAAATCTGCATTGACTCATATATTTTCGGTGATATTTCGCGAATAGCGATTCCATGCCGGTCAATAGTTGTTTGAATAATTCATTATAGTCTGCTGAACGATATCATAGCACACGTGGTCGAGGATTGGAAGGAGTGCGATGTTTCGGACGAATACACGATGAATAGAATGGCTTACATCTCTCGTTGGTTCTCCAATTTGATAATCGGTTCGCACGCAATGTCGGTATTCTTCTATGCGGTCGGCACATTGTTAAGACACAATAGCAGCAATCAAACCGATGCTCGAGAGCTTCTTCTTAAGATGGAATTACCATTCAAAATCGAAAGCACAACAATATATCTTACCATTCTCGTTACGCAGTTCGTTCATCAAGTAAGCGCGGCCAGTATGGTGGCTGTGGTAAATTGCTTACTGCTATCGCTGGTAAGTTTCAATGTCTCCTTATCCTGATTTTTCTAAAAATTACAAAAGAGAACAATTACATATCATGCAATAGTAAAAGTGGACTTGAAGACTTTCATTCTAAAAGTATATCGTATACACATTACTATACGTATAAAATTACTGAAGGAAAAGTGCATTATAAGTTTGTTTAAAAAATAAATAGTTATATCAAATTATGTTCAACAAATTCTAGTATTTACTTTATTTTCTAGATCACCAAAAATATACATAAAGAAATAAGTAAAAAGAAAAATGCAATAATTATTAAGTGGTATCGAAATTTTGTTATTCAATTTCTTTAGAAATTTAAGTTTCTAAAAAGCAACGAGTTGAACTGATTTATATTGTAAATATAAAAAATAAAAACTGGGGAAAATATTTTTACTATACAAGATGTTAATTGGATATTACGACGTTTAGGTTCTCCATGTGTGTGGGCAGATTGATATAATGCGGCAAAAGCTGAGTGAAATCACGCGAAAGAACATCCAGCAAGGTGTAAACAAAAATATTGCAAAAATGCTAATCGTTCGGCATCAGAAGATCATCACCTTCTCCAAGAATATCGAGACTCTCTTCTCGAATATAGCATTAATACAATTTGTGTCGAACACTTTGGTCCTCTGTTGTCTAGGATTTGTTATTGTGATCGTAAGTACACGTGAAATAACGTAAATTTATTCGAAACGTAAGATATTTAAAATTTTTAGTCCATTGGTGTCCCAGGCGGATTGCCTATGCTAGTAAAGTCCGTGTTCTTTTACATTCTAGTCAATGTGGAGGCATTTGTATTTTGCTTCCTAGGAGAATATCTTAGTACGAAAGTCAGTATATGATATGATATGTATGTATGTCGGCTATGGTGCATTGTTTTACAACGAAAATTATTTTAGAGTAAGACGATCGGTGACGCGGCTTACGAAGCGCTTTGGTACGAATTGAATCCGATTCAGAATCGGGATATCCTTTTTATAATTGTAAGATCACAGAAGTACTTGACACTCACGATCGGAAAAGTCGCGAATCTATCGCTAATACAATTTACCAACGTAAGCATTTTGTAAAGTTATAAAAGTAGCTGAATAAAGGTGCACTTGTGTCGTAGAATTTTACGTTCATTGATGTTTTGACATGACCGAGTGACGATCTCTAGTTGCTTCATCGCGGCATAGCGTTCGCGTACGAAGACCGTAATTGCTTCTATCATGTTGTAGATCGTGAAAGCCTCGGCGTCATACATGTCGGTGTTACACGCGATGTATTGAAGCCTAAACATACTTTATGCTCCGCTTATATCTTCGCGTGCAGAAGGATATAGTACAGCCTTTTACTACAGCCAGCCGGTTACGTGATTAGCAATTTTCCTATTCAGAGACTCGATGGGGAGTAGACGAGTACGGATATGGTTTATTAAAGTATTGATTTGTAATAAACAATGTGAAGTTGATCTTCTCAGATGTACTTTTCCAAGGCCGACGAAAACAAAATAAAGGCATTTCATTAAACATTTTTTAACTTCATTATTTTCAGTACCACTTTAAATTAATAAAGTTGAAAATTAAACTTGGAAAGTTCTATGTGTGTTCGCTGTTATGTATACGTATGTGTGTACGAGCGCGTGTACGTTTGAAACAATGAAATATTTAAGTACATATATTCACGTGTGTGCATATGAAAAATATGGTTAAAATTTTATATATTTCACTTCTTTTATTTTACATGTATTATTTAATCGAAATGATTGTAGAACCAAATAATAACTGGTTTATTGTTTAAACGTATACATAGATACAATATGTATCATTATATTAATTGCAGTTTTATATTTTTATGTATTTTTTATTGTAAAAACACATTTGTTTTAGTTTGTTGAGCAAAATTTATATCATACCAGGACTGATTCTAATAGAACTTTCCATTATTTTCTAATAAAAACAGAGCTCAGTTAAAATCAACCTTCACATTTATGATATCTGGTCGTGTTCATATTTCAATTGTATGTACTGAATTACGATGTTGAGCTGCATGAGACTGAAATTTGTTGGTATCAATAGGATGATGAACGTTTACCTTGCATTTTTAACGCAAATAACGGACAGAGACCGATCGATGCGCACATGAGGGTGTATAGAAGTTCTTCATGTCTGCCTGTTCTTTTTTTTTGCAACCGCAGTAATCATCGAAATGTTAGACTATTTACTCGCAGTCTCTAAGATAAGAAAATACAAAAATATATGATGGAAATACGATGGATAAGTACTTTCTATTGATCTACAACTGTAGGTTCCTCGAATACTGAATTCATAGAATCTTACAGTCTTACTGAGGCTTCACGATTGACCATATATCCACTGATGACTGTTAAGTAACTGTAACTGACTTAAACTGATCCTGCTGCGATCGGAAATTTAAAAAAACCCATTTTCTAACCGATGACGATATAAATTAAGAATCAAGGCAATTGCGTTAGAATTTTGATACTACTTAAGCTGTGTGCGCTGCACGTATTATTAATAATAAACAGTTCTGCGTTAGCAAACTGATAGCTTTCCTCGGATCAAGAGATACGATGGTATCTCGCGCCGAGTTGTAATCTTCCTGTAACACAAACGCAGAAGAAAACCGAGTTAAGTTGAAATATCAGTAACCGAGCTGGTGCTACCGTGGCGTGAAACTGAATTGCTCAGAGTAAATATATAACGGTACAAAAATGGTGAATACTGTGTGTCGCTCTGTCGAGTTCGGACTTCGCGCGATCGGTGTATGGCCGGATACGTCGTATGCAATTTTGCGCCGAGCGTTCTGTATATCTACGATGGCAATATTTCAGACCTTTCAATATCAACACTTGATCATGCATTACGGCGACGAGGATCTCTTTCTACTCATGGACGTGTTAAGCGCAACTCTGGCTTACACTCTTCTGCTGATCAAATTGATTATTTTTTCGTTTAATGCTCGGTAAGCTTCTTCGCCGTGACACTGAGTTCTAAGTGCGATTTGCAGAATAAACATACGTCCGGATTGTCCATTCTAGATTCCAGGACTAAAATCAAAAGAAAGAATCATTAATGCGTTAGTAATTTTGCTATTAAACCGTAACCGTTTGACAACGTCTCGCGAAGTGAAAGAAGAGTTTTCGTGTTGTTACGCGATTACATCGGCCAATAGTTTTGTTTTAAATAATCCATTGTAGTCTGCTGAACGAAATCATAGCGCGCCTAGTTGAGGATTGGAAAGAGCGCGATGTTTGTGACGAGTACGCGATGACTAGGATGTCGTACATCTCTCGTCGGTTCTCCAACTTTATCATTGCCTTGTACGCGCTTTCGGTGCTCCTTTACGCAACCGGTACTTTGCTGAGATACAAAAGTAACAATCAGAACGACACTCGAGAGCTTATTCTTAAGATGGAATTGCCCTTTGAAATCAAGAGCACATCGGTACATGTAGCTGTCCTTGTTACACAATTTATTCATCAGACAAGTGCAGCAAGTATGGTAGGCGTGATGAATTCCTTGCTGATAACACTGGTAAGTTTCCAACGTCTTCCCATAATTCATCAGTGTTTCTGGAAATCATTAAAAAAAATTATTGCAATGCATGATACGTACTTACAGAGGAGAGTAAATGAACATTAATCTACTTAAAAAATTAGACAACAAATATAATAAATGTCTGAACGATAATTTGCATTGATTTTTATTCGAAAAATAATATTGCTTTATTTACTAAAACAAGGAAAATATGCTTCCGGTTTTACCGGGTATTAAATTGCACTTGATTGTCAATGCATATCGTGACGTTTAGGTTCTTCATGTGTGCGGACAGATTGACACTGTGAGACAAAAATTGAGCGAAATCACGCGAAAAGACATCAAGCGAGACGCGAGCGAGAGCATCGTGAAAATGTTGATTATTCGGCATCAAAAGATTATCTCTTTCTCCAAGAATATCGAGGCCTTTTTCTCGAATATCGCGCTAATACAATTCGTATCAAATACTTTGGTTATCTGTTGTCTAGGATTTATTATCGTGATCGTAAGTATGATCGTAACTGAGATCACAAAAACTCATTCGAGATGTGAGGTATTAAAATTTTTTAGTCATTTGGTGTTCCGGACGGATCGTCTATGCTAATAAAGTCCGTGTTCTTTTACATTGTTATCAGCATGGAGGCATTTATATTTTGTTTCCTCGGAGAGTATCTCAGTACAAAAGTTAGTATTTTTCACGCAAAGTATGTCGTGTACAACGCGCTAAAGGTTTATTGCACGTTTCAGAGCCAGAAGATCGGCGATGCGGCGTACGAATCGCTTTGGTACGAGCTAAACCCAAATCAAAATCGAGATGTCCTGATCATGATCATAAGGTCACAGAAGCACCTGACGCTCACAATCGGGAAGGTCATGGATCTTTCTCTCCGGCAATTCGCCAGCGTAAGAAAATTAGCAATGTAACAAAAGTAATCAAGACGAGCCGTGTTTGCAGGCGAGCTGTTAACGTGAATGATGTTTGACAGCCGAGCAGCACACCTTCTCTAATCGTTTCGTCGTGACACGATGTTCGCGTACGATGGCAGTAATTGCTTCTATCATGTTGCAGATCGTGAAAGCTTCGGCGTCATACGTGTCGGTGTTACACGCAATGTATTGAAGCCTCACACTGCACGCCACTTATATCTTCGCGTGCAAAAGGATATAGTACTTTTATCACCGCCAGTCGTTTACACGATTAACAATTTTTCTATTCAAAGAGGCGGAGTTTCGCTTCAACTGTACGTGTGTAGACAAGCATGGGTAACGAAGCATCGATTTACCGAGGTACCTGTTCGCCGATGGCTTTATTTAGCCTGCAGTGCATAAGGCCAGAGCTATAAATACACCATTGATATTTTAGATCGATGTATTTTACCGAGTCTAGTAACAAAATGACGACCAAAATAAACGCGTTCAATTAAAAGAGATTTGATTTATCCAGGCTACTAGCGCTTTTATATTACAATCAAAAATTGATTTGGGAGATTCTTAAGACGACTAAACACAGCTATATGAAATCAAACGTATTATGTTAAAGGCGCGGTGTAAAAATAATAAACACAAATAGTGAGATGTAGTTTTATGAAGGACTCACATTGGTTACAAGGAAAAATTTCCCTCTGACTGCATTTTTCTCCCCTTGTACCGCCGTTCCCGTAACCGTGTTCCCGCAGCGTCGTTGTCCAACTGCCCAAGCCTTCTTGCCAGCACCTATAGCGCCAACAGTGATCTTTACACTGGTCTTTCCGTTGCAACGAACTCCCGCGATACGTCTTAGTCTTCCTCCCTCGCGACCCCCCCAGCACGGGAAATCCCCCAGTTACGTTTTCCCCCAACAGCGAAACATTTCAACCTCGCAGCAAGCAATTCGTGGAAGCTGCGCTCCGCCTTTCCTTCGCCTGTTGCATTTTTAAAGAGGGCATACAGTTGCATCGCGGTCGAAAGTTTGGAAAGAAGGGGGACCATCCCTACACCATCCATGTTTATCATTTATGAAATTATTCAGTCGCAGTTCTTTCCTTGCCTTTTTTTTGTACACTACAGCAGAATTAATTATTCACAACGAGTTGTGATTGGTCAGTGAACGACGACATGGGTCGCGCGTTCGGCGACACGCGAGCAAGTTTTAATATGAATAAAGTTATTCAACAACGGCGATTGATCGGCGAAGTGTTTCCCGTTTTCACCGAAAAGAAATATGAGGACGACCACGATCAGCCGTCTGATCAGGTTCAACCTTCATATTTACGGTATATGGCCACACGCGTCGAACGTTGTGGTCAGATTGTATTGGATTATAATGTTGAGCACGGCCCAAGTCTTTCAGTACCGATACGTAGTGGTAAACATTCATATGGACGACTTCCCCGAGTATATAGATGCAGTGAGCAGTGCGATGGCGTCGTCTTTATTGTATATTAAGCTCGTTATCTTTTGGACCCATGAACGGTAGGACCAAGTTACGTGTTGCTATATTTACGTTTTATTAACGGCACTTGTCGAAAATACAAGTACATCGAACGCTGATCAATCGGCGTTTCACGTTATTCATTATCGGTTAAGAATCCAGAGTGCACGTACGATTGCATGTTACGAGTTGCCTTCTTTTTCTGACACTTTAATAAATATATTCGCGCCAAATTCAGAATCGATCCAATTTTATTGTAGACTAGAGTGAAACACAGCATTAACGCGAACGGTTGCACCTGATCTTCCGTAGAATATTTCTCGATCTAATACAAATGATGTCTGTGGACTGGCAAGATTACACCTCGAACCCCAATAGCTTGCGCATAATGACAAACGGGGCGAATGTTGCACGTCGTGCCTCAAGGTGGATCGTTGGCTTTCAAATAGTTTCTGTAATTTCATACACTGCCGGTGTTATCGCCACTAACGCAAGTCCCGAGAGATCAGAGCCGTACAAGAAAGATCTTATTCTAAAGATGGAGCTGCCATTCAACATTAGCACAAACTTTCTTTACACGACAGTTCAAACTGTTCAATGTTATCATCTGTTTTTAGTCGCCTGCGGCATTACGACCACCAATTCACTTCTCGTTACTCTGGTAAACTCAAATTACTTGCTTGTATGCGTCAAATTCCATGAATTCTTTCCATTTTTTCAATTAGATTTCATGTGAAATAAAATTGTTAATAAATTAAATCGAACATATTACGCTTCAATAATATTTTATAAATTGTGTAAATAGTATACGAAACATTATTAAAATATATTTTCACTAAATTTTACTTTACATTTTTTCCAATATCTTTGACTTTAAAAATAAACTTTACAAAATAATTTTTATATAACAAGAATAAAAGCTTATTGTCACCAGTGCATAATTAACGATGCAGTTTTCCTACCAAATAATTTTTATTTTTCTGAGAGAGAGAGAGAGAGAGAGAGTGGGATCATAAAGCTATAAACTTTAGGTAATTCACATTTGTGGCCAAATCGACATTTTTCGAGAAAAGTTGACAAACATCTTCTCCAAATATTCGGCTTATTCGGACGAAACTACACTGCGAACGTTGATTCTGAAGCATCAGCGTATTATTTTATTTGCGGAAAATATCGACACTCTTTATACGTTCATCTCATTAATGATGCTCTTATCTGACACCATTATCATATGCTGCTTAGGATTTATTATCGCCACCGTAAGTAACAAGAGAACAGTTGATTACTTATAGACGCATATATCGAAAGGAGCTGTTGATAATATATTAATTTAAAGACGTCTGAAAGTATTATACATATATGTGCAACTGAGTTACACTAAATTATTTTTCGCCCACATAAAAATTTCAGTCGCTCAACACACCCAATGCTGCAGCGATTTTGATAAAGTGCGTGATGTTCTACATCTCGATAAATTTCGAGACATTCATATACTGTTTCTCCGGGGAATATCTGAGCGCCAAGGTCAGCATCAAGAGATGCTTCATTATGGTAATTCGCGGATAACTCGATGTCATTTTTTTACTTTTCAGAGCAAAATGATTGGTAGTGCGGCATACGATTCTCTCTGGTACAATTTTCCACCTAAAGAAAGTCAAAATATATTATTCCTCATCATGAGATCGCAGAAAAGATTGACAATCACAAGTGGAAAAATCGTCGACCTTTCGTTGGAGCGATTTACCAGTGTAAAATTTAATAACTCATAATATTTTTAACATTTGTCTGCCTTGTAACGTAAAACTCGAATATTTTTAACAGGCTTTATCATAATCATTACTTTTCACAGATTTAATAATTAAAACGCGAATTTGCTGTTTTGTTATCGCGATAATTTACACGTTAAAATTCACTATTTTTTCTTCGTAATGATTTATCAAAATTCTTTATTTTTATCTCTTATTTATTGAAATGTTTGAACTGCAAAAATTTACGTGACGATGTTCACATCGCACTATATTACACCTACTTTTATATATTATAATTTTATATAGTTTTCATATGGTATTATTATATTACTTTATTTTATATCTCTTCACCATATTGTATTATTTAATTTCTTAATGTTACATATATTTACGATGCAGATAATAAATCACAAATTATAAATCACAAATAACAATAACATTTCAGGTAGTCAAGGCATCGTTGTCTTATATATCAGTACTGTTGGCAATGTACTGAAAATAGACGATGTACTGATGGTTACAATAACATGTAGCAATAGTAAGTAGAAAGTAGAATTTAGTAACAACAACTAAATAAATATTTAAAATACGAAACATTTGGACACTAACACCCTGTAATGGCTCGTAATGCTTTGTTCCTCCAAATTTGTGTTTATCACATTTGAGCCATGGGAATTTTATTAATTTGTAAATATATAAAATTTTTAATAAAAAATATAACTCTCTACACTCCATCTTTTTTTTCTCTCACGAGTTGCAGTTAATACTGTTTGCACTTCCTGTTGCGCTAAAAAGGGATATTATATTCGTTAATAAGAGGTTAAAAACTACGTGACGAAAGTTTTCTTATTTGTACGGACATTCTTCATGTCACCATTGATTATAAGACAACATCAACCGAGTTTTTTCGTAGTGCCGTTAGTTTGTTCATCTACGGTGAAAAGATAGTACTGTAAAACAAATTTTCGCAATTTCGCTTTCTCTTGGCACTTCCGGTTCGCATCTTCAAATCTTGAATTACTTTTCATGGCTGTCGTGCAACAACTTTGCATCTGACATTCACGTTTTAAACTCTGTATTTTTTCTCCTTTATAAAGTCTTGAATTTACTTAGTTTTGCCAGAAAGATGTTCAGACTTATTAAAGTAAGTCGAAATAGATATTCAAATAGACAATATTTTATGATATAATTATGAAAAAAAGAATACAAAACTTTGTGTTTCTTCGCCAGATATTCTGGCATGCATTGCTGTTTTCGTCGTGCTTCTTCCAATATGCGACTACTTGCAAAACGAGCTATGTTGCTATAAGCCCCGTGCAAAGCCAGTTTCGGAGAAACATACTCCATGTTTCGTCCATCCTCCTACCTTGCGATGCGCTCCCTAAAGCAAAACTTCAACTTCGCGTCGTGCGGGTCGCCGAAGCTGCACTCCCAAGGTTGTTGCATTTTTAAAGAAAGCACACGTTCGTATTGTCTGTGGTCGGAAACTCGATTTCGCGGGGAAAGAAAAACGGCACCCCCCACAACTTTTTGCGCATCAAAAGCTACGAGCATCGAAGAGATAGTCGCACGTGGTCCAAGTGCGTCAAAGTTTGCGTACGTAGCGACAGAAATAACGAATGGTTGTCCGATTGGTGGGCGGCCAATGATACGGGGCTGTTCTTTTAGTTTAAGCAAAAAATTCTCCCCTGTACACGGAAATACAAACTTTTCTTACCGTCACCGAGCACGGTTTAATGCCTAGTGTACAATCGCGTGTTGCTATCTGTTGTTGCTTGAATTTTTAAAGAAAATAACGCACTGCGCGCTACACCACCGTTTCGTCCCAGAAATCGAGAGGGAGAGAATCGGCTGCCCGGAAACTTCTTTTTTTTATCGACAACAGTACACGCAATCTGTGCACGTTGCGATCAAAATATATAATAAGCTATAGGCACGTGGGAGGGTGAGCCCCACTCGTACTCCCTTTCAAGTTTTCAGTTTGTACGGAGATACCATGTAGTGCGTATCATATCGATCGATCAGTTATTTCCCGTAATAACGTTCGCAATTCTCTTATCAGAATCGACGCGTGTTAACGGTGCATAATAATTGAAAAATAATAATAACAGAGAAATATGAAAGCGAATACAATTAGTCGAGTGACAAAAATTTGGCTGCGAATTTTTGGCATATGGCCGGACAAATCGTGCGTTTTATTACGTAGACTGTTCTGGACCGTCATGCTCTTACTCGAGCAAATCCTTCAATATCGATATGTCATAATGCGTTATCATTTGCTCGAGTTTACCGAGATAATGAACGTTATGAGTTCAGTAATGACGTGTACGGTGTTTTCAATAAAAGTCGTCATTTTTTGGTACAAGCAGCGGTGAGATATGCAACGGCGCGTAGTGATGTGCACTATCAGTGAAAAATTTTCTTAAAAAATATTACATAATTTAATTAAATTTAATTATATGATTCAACATTAAGTTTGCTACATAAATTTAGTAGTATATCTCGATACAAGAATTACTTTGACTGATAAAATAAATTATTTGACAATTGCTTTGGTCAATAAAATAAATTATTGACAATTGCAAACGTGAGCAATGTAATAAAGCTGAATTAAAGATAAATTGCTATTTATTACAAACATTAATTATTGTACGCAAAAAGGAAATGAGTGAACTCACGTAAAGTCATTGAGCCATAATAAATTTTTCATCGATGGTTTGCATCGCTTCGTTGAGCCCGTTATCACGATTATGACCAATGAAAACCGTTCGTAGAACATTCAACAGGATATTAACGATGATGGCGATTGACTTGGAAAAGTGTTCCAGCACAAAATTCAGTATGTTTGCGACGATGTACAATGTCAAACAGTCGCAGCGCTTCGCTAATATGACGATGATTATTTATTCGACAACTATAACCTTTTTTAGCTTCAGCATCGTCATAAAACGCATAACTGGTGACACAGCTTCCAACGTTTCCGCACGACTGCTCATTCTAGAGATGGATTTGCCATTTGACACTAGTCAAAGATTTGTATATGAATTGGTCATAATTGTTCAATTTTTTTATTCGCTGCTGTGTACCAACGCAAACGGTTTATTAAATGCTCTACTCGTAAATCTGGTGAGTCCTGTTGCGTAAAGAAACTAAGATTATTATTATTATAAATATTGTCTGTTATTTTTGTTATTAAAAATTAATTTCTTAATATTGTCAACCATGACACTAATTAAGGAACAAATGTTCATGTGCATTGGCTATATCATTAAAGATAGCAATTTATTTACAATTGTGTGGCTTCTCAGTTTTTAAATGATTTTGTGCAGCATGAATTAAATCTAAGCATTTCAATTTCTTTTTCGTGACCATTTTTAAGTGTAGCAGTTGAAAGACATATTTATTTTAGATACTGCATGTAAGCAGTCAAATCAATATTCTTCGCAAGAGTTTGATGGAAAATTTTACAAAGAAAGGGGAGAGCAGCCCGAATCGTCTCATGATTAAACAATTAATAAGAAAACACCAGAAAATTATCATCTTTTCAGAGCATATTGAGGATCTGTATTCGCGTATCGCGATGGTGCTGTTTGTATCAGATACTGTAATTACCTGCTGCTTGGGTGTTACAATTGTCGCGGTAAGCAATTCTAATTAATTCAGCGTTAAGGGGAATATATTCTATAGAAACAACGCTGCTGAATTTGCAAAATAAAAGAGTATTAATTTTGCATCTTTAAATGTTCATCATTTTATCACTATTTTCTTGCTGTTAGAATGTTTCTTAAAATTATAGTCGATTGGTCAACCCGATGCTTCGAAAAGTATAATCAGGAATTTCATGTTTTACTTCGTTATGAACATGGAGGCATTCATATTTTGTTTCGCTGGAGAATACTTGAGCGCTAAGGTTAGACACTGGGAATATTGTACACGCTAAATAAAGCGAATATTACGTAATTGCTTCTAAAATCTACAAGATACATTATTCAATAGAGTAAAAGCATTGGAGATGCTGCTTACGATTCCCTATGGTACGAATCAGGTACCAGAGACAGTCGAAGTATATTGTTCTTAATAATGAGGTCGCAAAATCAACTAACTATTACAATTGGAAAGATAACGAATTTGTCTCTTGAACGATTTAGTAGTGTAAGTATATCTTATATATGTTTTTGTACATCGAACGTTTTACAAATTTTATGCTAAAGTTTGCTCTGCCAATAATTATCTAAAATCAAGAAAAAATAGAAAATGTGTTATCTCTTCGTCAAATATAAATAGAAAATCACTCTTAATTAATTTTCGCAATATACTATATGTTTTCATTTGATATTGTTATTTTTATAAATTTCTTTGAAATAACAAGTAATATATGATGCAATATTCATATTGTTGTATTTCATTAAAACGAGTCAAATGATGAACAAATAACTTTCTACAGTAAATTTAAATATTTATAATTTCTCTACTTTAATATTTTTATAATAATTAAATAATACTGTTGCAGATTATAAAGGCTTCGGCTTCCTATATGTCGGTCCTACTTGCAATGTATTGAACAAAACTACTTTATAGAATAGAATGGAATGGAATTAGCTTTATTGTTCGCCTTAGGATTTCAATCTTTTACAAACGTCATTTATTCCAATTTTCAGACTTTTACCTAAACATATTCTAACTTATTTTAACTGATCCTACATTTTAACATTTTAACACTTATACACACACACCTCCCCTATCCTCATTGGCTAGCTCTCCAAACTCTATGTCTGCCTCATCTCTTCCTCTCTCTACTTTTTCTACCCTCCATCCTCTTTCCTCAAAAAATTTCTTAGCCTCCTCCTCCCGTCTTGATTCTCTTTTTCCTTCCGTCTATTCTTTTCTCAAAACCTCGTGCTCTTCTTTCCGCTCTCTCTCTCTCAATTTTCCTCTTTTTATCTCCTCTCTCACTATATTCCCCGGCGTGTTTCTATCCAATCCGAAAGTCCATCTTAATTATCTTTCTTCTAATCTTTACGTTCTTTCTCTTTCCTTCCACCCCCATATCTCTACTCCATAACTCATCACCGTCCATACTAGTCTGTCGAACAACCATAACCTCCTATCTCAATTTTAGCCCAATCTCCTTTTCCCTATGCTGCATACATTTCCCGTTACTACCGCTGCCCTTTTCATTCGGTCTCTGATTTGTGCCTCTTGTCCTCCATTCCTTTGCATTCTGTATTTTCAGTACGTGAACTCTTCACCTCTTTAATTGTTTTTCCTCTCCATCTCCAGTGTCTTTTCTCCATCCTTCCCCATCCCTTTTTAAATTTCATGATTTTTGTTTTTTCCACATTTAGTTCTAATTTCTTTTCTTCTATGTAGTCTTCCCCATACATACTTCCTTTCTATTAGTCCTTCTTTTATTTTTCTTTCCTCCATTGTTTCGTATAGTATCCTTCAATCTACTGAGTCACAAACCGCCTTCATGTTCACAAATAGCGCTACTACCTCCTCCTCTTCCATAATTCACACCCAATCTCTTTTTCCTCCCTTTGCATTTCTCGCCCCATCCGCTTGTTCTTTTCCTTTCTACATTCTGATCTTCTTCCACCTCATTTAGCGAGCTTATTATCCTTTCTTTCGATTTATCCCAATCTTCCTACATTCCCTTACCTTCATTTATCTCCAACTTCAATCTTTTTTTAAACACTTCCCGCTCCTCTCTATTCCATATCACCTTCCTTGTCTCCTGCTGCTTTTTTCTTCTTTTCTTCTTCCGTATCTCATCTCTTCTATCCATACCTCCAGCGGTTGATAGTCGAAGTCCACCTTGTCCCTTATTTTTATGCTCGTAATCCTTTCTGTGACTTCCCCATTCCCTATAACATAGTCAATTAATGTACTTCACTTACCTTCTACGAATACATTCGTAGAATGTAAAAACTCTCCTTTTCGCCCCCCACTACGTTGCCATTAAATATGCTCCACTCTTTTTCTTCTATAATTTCTACTAATTTTTGTCCTTCTTTATTTATTTTCCTATCTTTCGAGTTCCTACTTTTTCTAACTCCTGATCTATGTTCCTCCGATTCTCCTATCAATCCTCCCTCCCTCCTAGTCCTTGCGTTGAAGTCTTGTCCTATCAGTGTTCTATACCCCTCCTCTTTCTTCTCTAACCACTTCTCGAGCTTTTTGAACATCTCCTCTATATTTCTATTTATATAAATTCCTATTTTACTCAACCTCTCCTTATCTTTCCCTTCTCTTCTCCCTGTTCTGAACCTTTGATAATAGCTTCTTTATCCTTCAACACCTTCTCTTCTTCATGCCACTTCTACCATTTCCCTATTATTCTTATTCTCCCACCTGTTATCTATATTCTTCTCCCATTCGCTTCCTTATTTTTCGCTATTTTACCCAGTTCCCATCTGATTTTTCTCTTCCTCCATGTTAGATCTTTTGTAATTCTCTCTACTTTTCCTCACAAAATTTTCTTTTTCTCCCATTTCTATTCTTCATTTCCTAAACTTACTAGCAGTATCTCCCTTCTGCTCTTTTCGCTCCTCTCTCCAATTCTCCTTATCTCCTTTATCTCCGCCGTAATGTCTACTATTCTAAAAATCTCTTCAACCGCGTCCTTCCTTCTCTCTTCCCTGACCACCACTCCTCTCATTATTACAATCTTTTCTCCCCCTTTTCTTTATTCTCTAATCTTTTTTCTATTCTCATCATTTTGACCATAATCTTACTCTCGCCCTCTTCGCTCTTCCTCTCTCCCTCTCTTTTCCACCCCCTCCTGCTCTAATTTTTCTGTCGTCTCACTCATCCTTTTCATTTTTTTTAACACTCCCTCTCTTCCTTCCATTCCTTCCATAGTCCTCTAAACTCATTTCCTAAATCCTCTATCATCCCTTTTATCATTCTCTCCAGTTCTTTAGAAAAGCTCTTCCTCATCTTCTCCATCATCTTTTCAAATTTACTCTCTAAATTATTACCTAACTCTTTCATTCATTCCTCTATTCTTGTATTTCCCCCCTCCTACCTCCTTTCCTGGTGATCTGTCTGTTAAGCTGCTCTTTTTAGAAATCTCTTCCTCCTCCTCACTTCTTTCCAATTCCTTTCTTTTTCTTTTCTAGAATTCCTCTATGCTTCCCAAACTCTCACATCTACCCATTTCTAACCTTCCCTTATACTTCTTACTACCTTTCTTTTCCTCCATCTCACTGCGCACTCTCCCTTTCCAAACGTTCACTCAACCGCCCTCTCGTTCATACACCCGTTCTTTTGTCTACACTGCTGCCTCTACGCCAGTCTCTCGTCTATGCTTTTTTACCATGCGCTCAGTTACTCGTCCTCTCCTTTCTATGTCCAACGTGCTTGCACCTTTCGCCCTATTTCTCCCTTCTCTCGCCCTTCACTTCCCTCCCTTTATATTATCTTTCCCACTCTCTCGCCTCCACCTTCTCACTCTTCCACTCTCGCCTTCGTCACTTCTCTATTTTTCGTGCACTGCCTTCTTAATATCAACCACCGTTCACGTACGGCGTCTCACCACTAACGCACTGGAAGCGAAAGTCCTCAAAACAATACATTATCTTTGCATGGTTCCATATACTTATGACGCAGATTATAAAACACAAATTACAAATCACAAATAACAATGACAACAAAAGAGTGTAAATCGCCAGTAGTTAATTTACGGAAAAAAGAATTGTTAGACGACATTAGGCTGGCAAATGATTTATTAGTTAGATTGACAATGTTCTCTAATAAAATTGTAGATTATGAAATCCCTTGATAGGAACCACAACCCGTATGGTCGAAACGTCGGAATCAAACTAATAAATTATTTGCCACCCTACTGTAGTCTAATAATTCTGTTTTCCAACAACAATAACATTTCAGGTAGTCAAAGCATCGTTGTCTTATATGTCAGTACTATTGGCAATGTACTGAAAATAGACGATGTATTGATAATGGTTAGATCAATATCATATAGTGATAGTAAATAGAAAGTAGAATTTAGTAACAAAACCTAAATAAATATTTAAAATACGAGACATTTGGACACTAACACCCTGTAATGGCTCTTAATGCTTAGTTCCTCCAAATTTGTGTTTATCACATTTGAGCCATGCAAATTTTATTAATTTGTAAATATATAAAATTTTTAATAAATATAACTCTCTACACTCCATCTTTTTTTTCTCTCACGAGTTGCAGTTAAAACTGTTTGCACTTCCTGTCGCGCTAAAAAGGGATATTATATTCGTTAATAACAGGTTAAAAATTACGTGACGAAAGTTCTCTTATTTGTACGGACATTCTTCATGTTACCATTGATAAGACAACATCAACCCGAGTTTTTTCGTAGTGCCGTTAGTTTGTTCATCTACGGTGAAAAGGCAGTACTGTAAAACAAACTTTCGCAATTTCGCTTTCTCTTGGCACTTCCGGTTCGCGTCTTAAAGTCTTGAATTACTTTTCATGGCTGTCGTGCAACAACTTTGCATCTGACATTCACGTTTTAAACTGTATTTTTTCTCCTTTATTATACTATAAAGTTTTGAATTTACTTAGTTTTGCCAGAAAGATGTTCAGACTTATTAAAGTAAGTCGAAATAGATATTAAAATAGACAATATCTTATGATATAATTATAAAAAAAAGAAAACAAAACGAACAAACTTTGTGCTTCTTCGCTAGATATTCTGGCACGCATTGCTGTTTTCGTCATGCTTCTTCCAATATGCGACTACTTGCAAAACGAGCTATGTTGCTATAAGCCCCGTGCAAAGCCAGTTTCGGAGAAACATACTCCATGTTTCGTCCATCCTCCTACCTTGCGATGCGCTCCCTAAAGCAAAACTTCAACTTCGCGTCGTGCGGGTCGCGGAAGCTGCACTCCCAAGGTTGTTGCATTTTTAAAGAATGCACACGTTCGTATTGTCTGTGGTCGGAAACTCGATTTCGCGGGGAAAGAAAAACGGCACCCCCCACAACTTTTTTACGCATCAAAAGCTACGAGCATCGAAGAGATAGTCGCGTGTGGTCCAAGTGCGTCAAAGTTTGCGTACGTAGCGACAGAAATAACGAATGGTTGTCCGATTGGTGGGCGGCCAATGATACGGGGCTGTTCTTTTAGTTTAAGCAAAAAATTCTCCCTGTACACGGAAATACAAAACTTTTCTTACCGTCACCGAGCACGGTTTAATGCCCTGTGTACATACATTCGCGTGTTGCTATCTGTTGTTGCTTGAATTTTTAAAGAAAATAACGCACGGCGCGCTACACCACCGTTTCGTCCCAGAAATCGAGAGGGAGAAAATCGGCTGCCCGGAAACTTCTTTTTTTTATCGACAACAGTACACGCAATCTGTGCACGTTGCGATCAAAATATTTAATAAGCTATAGGCACGTGGGAGGGTGAGCCCCACTTGTACTCCCTTTCAAGTTTTCAGTTTGTACGGAGATACCATGCAGTGCGTGTCATATCGATCGATCAGTTATTTTCCGTAATAACGTTTGCAATTCTCGTATCAGAATCGACGCGTGTTAACGGTGCATAATAATTGAAAAATAATAATAACAGAGAAATATGAAAGCGAATACAATTAGCCGAGTGACAAAAATTTGGCTACGAATTTTTGGCATATGGCCGGACAAATCGTGCGTTTTATTACGTAGACTGTTCTGGACCGTCATGCTCTTACTCGAGCAAATCCTTCAATATCGATATGTCATAATGCGTTATCATTTGCTCGAGTTTACCGAGATAATGAACGTTTTGAGTTCAGTAATGACGTATACGGTGTTTTCAATCAAAGTCGTCATTTTTTGGTACAAGCAGCGGTGAGATATGCAACGGCGCGTAGTGATGTGCACTATCAGTGAAAAATTTTCTTGAAAAATATTACATAATTTAATTAAATTTAATTATATGATTCAACATTAAGTTTGCTACATAAATTTAGTAATATACCTCGATTCAAGAATTACTTTGACTGATAAAATAAATTATTTGACAATTGCAAACGTGAGCAATGTAATAAAGCTGAAGTAAAGATAAATTGCTATACATTAATTATTGTACGCAAAGAGGAAATGAGTGGACTCACGTAAAGTCATTGAGCCATAATAAATTTTTCATCGATGGTTTGCATCGCTTCGTTGAGCCCGTTATCACGATTATGACCAATGAAAACCGTTCGTAGAACATTCAACAGGATATTAACAATGATGGCGATTGACTTGGAAAAGTGTTCCAGCACAAAATTCAGTATGTTTGCGACGATGTACAATGTCAAACTGTCGCAGCGCTTCGCTAATATGACGATGATTATTTATTCGACAACTATAACCTTTTTTAGCTTCAGCATCGTCATAAAACGCATGACTGATGACACAGCTTCCAACGTTTCCGCACGACTGCTCATTCTAGAGATGGATTTGCCATTTGACACTAGTCAAAGATTTGTGTATGAATTGGTCATAATTGTTCAATTTTTTTATTTGCTGCTGTGTGCCAACGCAAACGGTTTATTAAATGCTCTACTCATTAATCTGATGAGTCCTATTGCGTAATGAAATTAGAATTATTATTATTATAAATATTGTCTGTTATTTTTGTTATTAAAAATTAATTTCTTAATATTGTCAACCATAACATTAATTAAGGGACAAATGTTCTTGTGCATTGGCTATATCATTAAAAATAGCAATTTTTTTAAAATTGTGTGGTTTCTCAGTTTTTAAATGATTTTGTGCAGCATGAATTAAATCTAAGCATTTCAATTTCTTTTTCGCGACCATTGTTAAGTGTAGCAGTTGAGAGACATATATATTTTAGATACTGCATGTAAGCGGTCAAATGAGTATTCTTCGCAAGAGTTTGATGGAAAATTTTACAAAGAAAGGGGAGAGCAGCCCGAATCGTCTCATGATTAAACAACTAATAAGAAAACACCAGAAAATTATCATCTTTTCAGAGCATATTGAGGATCTGTATTCGCGTATCGCGATGGTGCTGTTTGTATCAGATACTGTGATTACCTGCTGCTTGGGTGTTACAATTGTCGCGGTAAGCAATTCTAATTAATTCTGCCGTTAAGGGGAATATATTCAATAGAAACAGCGCTGTTGAATCTGCAAAATAAAAGAGTATTAATTTTGCGTCTTTAAATGTTCATCATTTTATCACTATTTATTTGATCTTAGAATGTTTCTTAAAATTATAGTCGATTGGTCAACCCGATGCTTCGAAGAGTATAATCAGGAATTTCATGTTTTACTTCGTTATGAACATGGAGGCATTCATATTTTGTTTCGCTGGAGAATACTTGAGCGCTAAGGTTAGACACTATGGGAATATTGTACACGCTAAATAAGGCGAATATTACGTAATTGCTTCTAAAAGCTACAAGATACATTATTCAATAGAGTAAAAGCATTGGAGATGCTGCTTACGATTCCCTATGGTACGAATCAGGTTCCAGAGACAGTCGAAGTATATTGTTCTTAATAATGAGGTCGCAAAATCAATTAACTATTACAATTGGAAAGATAACGAATTTGTCTCTTGAACGATTTAGTAGTGTAAGTATATCTTATATATGTTTTTGTACGTCAAACGTTATACAAATTTTATGCTAAAGTTTGCTCTGCCAATAATTATCTAAAATCAAGAAAAAATAGAAAATGTGTTATCTTTTCGTCAAATATAAATAGAAAATCACTCTTAATTAATTTTCGCAATATACTATATGTTTTTTCATTTGATATTGTTATTTTTATAAATTTCTTTGAAATAACAAGTAATATTTGATGCAATATTCATATTGTTGTATTTCATTAAAACGAGTCAAATGATGAACAAATAACATTCTACAGTAAATTTAAATATTTATAATTTCTCTACTTTAATATTTTTATAATAATTAAATAATACTGTTGCAGATTATAAAGGCTTCGGCTTCCTATATATCGGTCCTACTTGCAATGTATTGAACAAAACATTATTGAATAGAATGGAATTAGCTTTATTGTTCGCCTTAGGGTTTCAATCTTTTACAAACGTCATTTATTCTAACTTTTAGACTTTTACCTAAACATATTCTAACTTATTTTAACTGATCCTACATTTTATCATTTTAACACGTATACACACACCTTCCCTATCCTCATTGGCTAGCTCTCCAAACTCTATGTCTGCCTCATCTCTTCCTCTCTCTACTTCTTCTACCCTCCATCCTCTATCCACAAAAAATTCTTAGTCTCCTCCTCCCATGTGATTCTCTTTTTCCTTCCTTACTTCTCTTCCTCGTTTCATTCTTTCATAATATTCTTACTTTGCTGCCCTTCTCCTCGTTTATTCTTTTCTCAAAACCTCATGCTCTTCTTTCCGCTCTCTCTCTCTCTCTCTCTCTCTCACTCTCAATTTTCCTCTTTTTATATTTTCCTCTCTTACTATATTTTCCGGCGTGTTTCTATCCAATCCGAAAGTCCATCTTAATTATCTTTCTTCTAATCTTTACATTCCTTCTCTTTCCTTCCACCCCCATAACTCTACCCCATAACTCATCACCGTCCATACTAGATTGTCGAACAACCATAACCTCCTATCTCAATTTTAGCCGAATCTCCTTTTCCCCCCTATGCTGCATACCTTTCCCATTACTACCGCTGCCCTTTTCATTCGGTCTCTGACTTGTGCCTCTTGTCCTCCATTCCTTTGCATTCTGTATTTTCAGTACGTGAACTCTTTCACCTCTTTAATTGTTTTTCTCTCCATCTCCAGTCTCTTAACTTCTCCCTATTCTGAACCTTTGATAATAGATTCTTTATCCTTCAACACCTTCTCTTCTTCACGCCACTTCTACCATTTCCCTTTTATTCTTATTCTCCCACCTGTTATCTATGTTCTTCTCCCATTCGCTTCGTTATTTTTCGCTATTTTACCCAATTCCCATCTGATTTTTCTCTTCCTCCATGTTAGATCTTCTGTAATTCTCTCTACTTTTTCTCACAAAATTTTTGTTTATCTCCATTACCTCCCATTTCTGTTCTTCATTTCCTAAACTTACTAGCAGTATCTCCCTTCTCTTTTCGTTCCTCTATCCAATTCTCCTTATCTCCTTTATCTCCCCCGTAATGTCTACTATACTAAAAATCTCTTCAACCGTCTCCTTCCTTCTCTCTTCCCTTACCACTCCACTCCTCTGATTATCACAATTTTTTCTCCCCCTTTTCTTTATTCTCTAATCTTTTTTCTATTCCCATCATTTTATCCATGATCTTACTCTCGCCCTCTTCGCTCCTCCTCTCCCCCTCTCTTCTTCCACCCCTCCTGCTCTAATTTTTCTATCGTCTCACTCATCCTTTTTGTTCGCGGCGAATGAGCGGTCGTTTGTATTGGCCGGGTTACCGGCGGAGCGGCGTTGCCGCGGCGCGGCGAAAGTGTTCGGCGGCGCCGGCCGCGCGTGCGCGGCGCGCAAGTGTGCGAGCGGAAGCGAGTGCGGCGTGCGAGTCGCCTCCTTCGCCAACTTTCCTTCCGGCTAGCGACAGTGCGACTGCGACAGTGCGATTCGGGAGAGAGGAGAGTGCGAAACGGAGGAGAGAACCGTTCGCAGTCAAGAGAGTAACGGTCAAGGCACGGGTGGATGGACGAAGATCATCGGGAAGGCCCGTGGACCCTGCGACAGCCAGCCGGCCGTTGCGAGAGGGCGGTCGAGAGGACGGTGGAGAGTGCCCGCAGATCCTGCGCTATCCAGCCTACGAGCGCGGGAGGCTGAGCGACCATCGTCCACTACACAACGACGGTGGGACGGGGGGACCCTGCCCAGGCGATCTCGCCTTTGCCAGGCTTCTGCCCGGGAGATAGAACGGATTCAGCCACCGGGAGAAGGCGAGCGCCCTGCGACTCGTTCGACGGTGCGGATCCGACCGGCGCGCCGAGAGGCGCAGTTGCGAGCGAGCACGAGCGAGCGAATATCGGGAAGGACAAAGGTAATTGTGGGGTGTCCGCGGGGGGTAGGGGTGACGACGGCCATTCGGGCCTTCCGCCATTGTACCTCGCGTGCGCGCCGTCTCGCTGTCGTGGCGGGTGAGGAGTGCGGGACGTGCGTGGTACGCCGTCTCGTCGCTCTATCTCTCTCTAGCCCGCGTTGCGTTGCGGCTTTGGATCTTGGTTTGGGGGGACGGGGTGGCCAAGTGCGTCGCCTCGTCACTGCGGGCCGTGTTCCCGGGGTGGACGCGAGCCTCATCTCTGGCGAGTGGGGGTGCGGAGGGGCCAGCCGCATCACCCTCCCACAACGTCGGCAGCGGATAAATACGCGGTTGGACGTACCTTCCGACGGGACAGCGGGACGACGGATGTTTCTTCGGGAAAGGGGGCGGTATCGATCTGTGACGACGCGCCGCCATTTCGGGCTTTCGTGGCCATTACGGTCTCGCGGAGAGACAGTTACCGCGCGTTGAGCCGGTTACCGGATGTACTTGCGACGATGTGATGTGACTGATGTGAATGGGCATGTATATGACGGGTTGCTGCCTGCGCCCGCTAATGCGGCGGGCCAGGTATTAAGAATCAATAAAGTGAGCGCTTACTCGGGCTTTTCCCTTCACTCGCAAGGGTTTTTATGCCTAAGCAAGTGGGTGTGTATCGCGGAAAATGGTATGTTGTAATTATGTGTTCCTTTCAAAGACTGCATCCCGCTTCCTTATCTACGAACCCGCGACTTTAATATTTATGAGACTTATGCGCGTACCGAACGTCCGAGGCGTTCCGATGATTCAAACTTCGGCTAGGGCTTCATCGAGATAGATGAAGCGATACAAACACACAAATTTCTGGTGCCCCGGGTGAGGAAGGTGTGGGATGCATGTCTTCTCGTTTATGATGTAGTACTGATTCTCTGTACCGTTTTCAGCGCGTTTACGCACTTATTGTGAAACCTGAGACAGTGTGTAGGAGAGCGATTGCGAGGGAGACACTGTGGGTCGTCCCAGAGAGAGTTTGTATGCGGCGTGAGCCCAGCGAGTGAGGAATCCTGCTTGGACTGAGTGGTGGTACGAGTTTCTGGATCGATTGCCGTTCGGGGCTCGTCGACAACCATAAGTACTCAGTTTGTGCCTGCGTTGCGGACTTAAGCGATTCAGTTGTGTGACGGGCACGTGTCCGGATGCCGTCTGTACCACCGTGAAAGATTGTCGCGTTGTGAGCTATCCGCTGATCCTGTTCGGTAAAGTTAATTGACGGTCTCGAATTATTATTGTCATGGCGCCTCCTACGTTGAAAAAATGGGTCGCGTTACAGAGCGTGCGTTTAGAGGAGATGCGTCTAATACGGGAAAGCTTTCGCGGTGGAGATAGTGCTACTTTGAGCAAAGCGGTTATCCGGTCGCAACTAGAACGCCTGAATGAGATATGGGAGGACGTGTGTAAGACACACGCGGAAATTTCGGCCAAAGAAGGGGCGGAAACGGATCCGTATATGGTGGACGATGTGTTCGCTACGTTGCATGCCACTTACGAGGACGTGCGCGATTTATTGGTGACTTCGCGTGTGCCGTTCGAGGCTAGGGAGGAATTGGTTTCTAGTATTCGCCGTGCGGACGTCGAGCCATCCGAGCCGGAGGCGGATGCGTCCGTGGCGCGTCTACCGCGAATGCCGTTACCCACGTTTTCGGGGAAATACGAGGATTGGGAGAGCTTTTGCGACCTCTTTACCGCTCTGGTACACGAGGTGCCCAAGTTCGCGGACGTGACTAAGTTGCAATTTCTGAAATCGTGCCTGAAGGGTCCGGCTGCCGAGTTAATCAAAGATGTCAAAACCACTAACGCGAACTATGTCAGTACATGGTCAACGCTGAAGGCGAGATATCACCCACGTCTCATTCTTGCGAAATATCTTACGTCTTTGTTACAACTCCAACACTTAAAGAAGGAGTCGGCTGTAGGCTTGCGTGCGTTTACCGACGATGCGACGCGTATTGTTCGCGCTCTCACGAATATGAAATTACCGGTAGCGCACTGGGATCAGTGGCTTGTCCACATTCTCGCTGAGAGATTGGATCCGGAGTCTCGGAGACTCTGGGAGGCTGAGCTCAGCGCGAAAGACCGGAAGGCTGCGTTAAGCATGGGATCGGCAGATTTTGAGCTGTTGAAATACTTGCCTACCTTTGCAGACATAATCGATTTCCTGGAAAGGCGTGCGCAGACGCTCAACATGTTGAGCTCGGAATCTCTAACGAATAATAAGGGGGAGAAAAGAACGGCTCACGATAGTAAGCCCGTTAATAAAACCCGGAAGGTCTTTCACGCTAGCACTTCCTCCTCGACATCGGATAAGGCGAAATGTATTGCTTGTTCGGGGGCTCATCCCCTGATAAAATGCGTTAGTTTTAAAGCGAAGTCTGCGAGTGACCGACGTGACTGTGTGCAACGTTCGGGCGCTTGCTATAACTGCTTAGGAAAGCATAGAGTGCGCGATTGCCAATCGAATAAGCGTTGTGGCGTCCCCGGTTGTCAGAGGAAGCACCACACCCTTTTGCATCCGAAAGCGGCTACCGTGCAGGCCGCTGAGAGTCGCGCTCCCCCGACTGAGAAGTCTGAGGGGGCCGACGCCGAAACAAAGCCACCTTCTTTTTATAATTTTTTATCGTTGCGAACAGAATTTTGTTAGCATTTGCGTTCAATTAAAAGAGATTTGATTTAATCAGCTACTAGCGCTTTTATATTAGAATCAAAACTTGATTTGGATTTTTAGGACAATTAAACACAGCTATATGAAATCAAACGTATTATGTCTAAGGTGCGGTATAAAAATCATAAACACAAATAGTGAGATGTACAATAGTTTTATGAAGGACTCACCTTGGTCACAAGGAAAAATTTCCCGCCTGACAGCAATTTTTTTTCCCTTGTACCGTCGTTCTGCAACCGTGTTGCCGCACCGTCGTTGTCCAGCTGCCCAAGCCTTCTTGCAAACACCTATAGTGCCAACAGTGATTTTTACACCGGTCTTTCCGTTGCAACGAACTCCTGCGATACGTCTTAGTCTTCCTCCCTCGCGATCCTCCAGCACGGGAAATCCCCCAGTTTCGTTTTCCCTCCCAACAGCGAAACATTTCAACCTCGCAGCAAGCAGTTCGTGGAAGCTGCGCTCCGCCTTTCCTTCGCCTGTTGCATTTTTAAAGAGGCCATACAGTTGTACTGTGGTCAAAAGTTTAGAAAGAAGGGGACCCTTCCCTCATCATCTATGTTCATTATTTATGATATTATATAGTTGCAGTTCTTTTCTTACTTTTTTTTATACTGCAGCAAAATTTATTATTCACAAGTTGTGATTGGTCAGTGATCGATGACATGAGTCGCGCGTCCGGTGACCCGCGAGCAAGTTTCAATATGAAGCTATTCAACGACTGCGATTTATCGGCCAAGTGTTTCCCGTTTTCGCCGAAGAGAAAATGACGACGACCACGATCAGCTCACTGATCAGGTTCCACCTTCATATGTACGGTATATGGCCACACGCGTCGAACGTTGTGGTCAGATTATATTGGATTATAATATTGAGCACGATTCAAGTCTTCCAGTACCAATACGTAGTGGTAAACATTCATATGGACGACTTCGTCGAGTACATAGATGCAGTGAGCAGTGCGATCACAATTTCTTTATTGTATATTAAGCTCGTTGTCTTTTGGACCCATGAACGGTAAGACGAAGTTACGTGTTTAAATACATATAATAATACTTACGTTTTATAAACGGCACTTGCCGAAAATACAAGAACGTCTAACATTGATCAATCGGTGTTTGATGTTATTCATTATCGGTTAAGAATCCAGAGTGCACGTACGATTGCGTGTTACGAATTGCCTCCTTTTTTTCGGGCACAATAAAATATTCGCGCCAAATTCAGAATCCATTCAATTTTATTGTAGACTAGAGTGAAACACGGCATTAACGCGAACGGTTGCACCTGATCTTCCGTAGAACGTTTCTCGATCTAATACAAACGATGTCTGTGGACTGGCAAGATTACACCTTGAACCACAATAGCTTGCGCATAATGACGAAAGGGGCGAATCTTGCACATCGTGCCTCAAGGTGGATCGTTAGCTTGCAAGTACTTTCCGTACTTTTCTACGGTGCCGGTGTCCTCGCCACTAACGCAAGTCCCGAAAGATCAGAGCTGTTCAAGAAAGGTCTTATTCTGAAAATGGAGCTGCCATTCAACATTAGCACAAATTTTATCTACACGACAGTTCAGACTTTTCAATTTTATCATATGCTGTTAATTGCCGGCGGTATTACGTCTACCAATTCACTTCTCGTCACTCTGGTAAATTCAAATTACTTTCTTAAAGCTTGTATGCGTTAATTACCATGAATTTTTTCAATTTTTTCAATTAGACTTTATATTAAATAAGATTGTTAATAAATTAAATGAAATATAATATATTACATTTCAATAATGTGTCACAAATTATGTAAATTATGTACTAAATTTTATTTTACATTTTTTACAACTGTAATTTTTAGACGTTTCGGAATATTCTAAACATAGTGGCTAAAAAAAACTCGAGAAAACATTTATCTTTAAAAACGAAGCTTCCTCTTTCAGGAGCTTTTAACTTTAAACAATAACTTTTATTTTTGAGAGAGAGAGAGAGAGAGAGAGAGAGAGAGATCATGAAACTATTAACTTTAGGTAATTCACATCTGTGGCCAAATTGACATTCTTCGAGAAAAATTGGTAAACATTTTCTCCAAATGTTCGGCGTATTCGGACGAGTTTACAGATGAAATTACACTGCGTACATTGATTCTCAACCATCAACGTATCATTTTATTTGCGGAAAATATCGACACTCTTTACACGTTTATCTCATTAATGATGCTTTTATCTGACACCATTATCATATGCTGCTTAGGATTTATTATCGTCACCGTAAGTAACAAGAAAACACGTGATTACTTATAAATGCAAATATCGAAAGGAGTTGTTGATAATATAATAATTTAAATATGTCTTAAAGTATCGTATATGTGCAACCGAGTTATACGAAATTAATTTTCGCGCACATGAAAATTTCAGTCGCTCGACACACCCAATGCCGCAGCGATTTTGGTAAAATGCGTGATATTCTACATCTCGATAAATTTCGAGACATTCATATACTGTTTCGCCGGCGAATATCTGAGTGCTAAGGTCAGCATCAAGAGATGTTTCCTTAATTCGCAAATATCTCGATATGATTTTTTATCTTTCAGAGCAAAATGATTGGAAGTGCGGCATACGATTCTCTCTGGTACAATTTTCCAGCTAAGGAAAGTCAAAATATATTGTTCCTCATCGTGAGATCGCAGAAAAGATTGACAATCACAAGTGGAAAAATCGTCGACCTTTCGTTAGAGCGATTTACCAGTGTAAAATTTAATAACTTATAATATTTTTCTGCTAACAGTTGTCTACCTTGTAACGTAAAACTCGAATATTTTTAACAGGCTTTATCATAAGTATTTTTCACAGATTCAATAATTAAAACAGGAATTTTCTCTTTTGTTATTGCGATAATTTACAGATTAAAATTCACTATTTTTTCTTCTTAATTATTTATCAAAATTCATTATTTTTATCTCTTATTTATTGAAATGTTTAAACTGCAAAAATTTACGTGACGATGTTCACATCTCGCATTATATGTATTAAACCTACTTTTATATATAATATTATAATTTCATATAGTTTTCGTGTGGTATTATTATATTACTTTATTTTATTATTTTATATCTCTTCACATTATTGTATTATTTAATTTTCTAGTGTTTCATATATTTATGATGCAGATTATAAATCACAAATTATAAACCACAAATAACAATAACATTTCAGGTAGTAAAGGCATCGTTGTCGTATATATCAGTACTGTTGGCAATGTACTGAAAATAGATGGTGTATTGAAAATGGTTATAACACTAACATGGAGCAATAGTAAGTAGAAAGCAGAATTTAGTAAGAAGAAAATGAATATATATTTAAAACCTGAAATATTTAGACACTAACACCCTGTCACGGCTCTTATTGTTAGTCCTTTATTCCTTCAAATTGCGTTTATCACATTTGAGGCATACATATTTTATTAAATTGTAAATATATAAGATTTTTTCTAAATATTACTCTGTATACTCCATCTTTTTTTCCTCTCATGAGTTGCAGTTAAAACAATTTGCACTTCCTGTCGCGCAAGAAACGGATATTATATTCGTTAATGAGAGAATATAAAAATTACGTGACGAAAGTTTTTCTTATTTAGACGGATATATTCTTCATGATACTATTGATAAGACAACATCAACCCGAGTTTTTCCTAGTGCTTTTAGTTTGTTCATTTACGGTGAAAAGGCAGCACTGCAAAACAAACTTTCGCAATTTCGCTTTCTCTTGGCACTTCCGGTTCGCGTCTTCAAGTCTTGAATTACTTTTCATGGCTGTCGTGCACAACTTTGCATCTGACATTCGCGTTTTAAACGGTATTTTTTTTCTTTACTATATAATCTTGAATTTACTTACTTAGTTTTGCCAGAGAGAAGTTCAGACTTATTAAAGTAAGTCGAAATAGATATTAAAATGCACAATATTTTATAACATAATTATTAAAAAAAAGAATTAAAAACCAACAAGCTTTATGCTTCTTCGCTAGATATTCTGGCATGCCTTGTTGTTTTCGTCATGCTTCTTCCAATTTGCGACTACTTGCAACACGAGCTATATTACTATAAGCTCCGTGCAAAGCCCGTTTCAGAGAAACATACTCCATATTTCGCCCGTCCTCCTCCCTTGCAATGCGCTCCCTATAGCAAAACTTAAACTTCGCGTTGTGCGAGTCGTGGAAGCTGCACTCCCGAGATTGTTGCATTTTTAAAGAAAGCACACGTTCGTATTGTCTGTGGTCGGAAACTAGACTTCGCGGGGAAAGAAAAACGGTACCCCCACAACTTTTTATACATCAAAAGCTACGATCATCGATGAACTCGTCGCGTGTGGTCCGAGTCCGTCAAAGGTTGCGTACGTAGGGACAGAAGTAACGAATGGTTTTCCAATTGGTGGGCGGTCAATGATACGGGGCTATGTGTTCTTCTAGTTTAACCTACATCTTTCCGAATTTTTTAGCGTGCAAAATTGCCTGGGTGGTGGATATGCATCTTAAGCGGTTTGTTTTCTGTCGTTTATGAGAAATACAGAGATGAGTACGATCAGTCGCGTGGGAAATATCGCGCTTGTAGAAACTATCCATATCTACCGTAGTATTCCGATTTTTCATCTCCTGAAGCTGGATACAGCTCAATTTTTTTTAGTGTCAATACATTTTAGTACCAATACATGGCGATACACTTTTACACCGGTTCCTCCGATTTAATGGATAGTGTAAGCAGCGCCGTGGCATATAGTCTGTTGTTCATCAAACACAGCACTTTATGGGCGAATCAACGATAAAATATATATATTATGTAAATTTTGTATTAAGAATAACGTGTAAAATAAGATTTATGAGTTGTTTGAATGATTAAAAAGGACAGATGCTACGATACTCTTTATTTACCTATATCTTATCTTAATATCTTAATATCTTATCTTAAACCATCAAATCATTAATTTTGTGGATTTATGCGAACTGGCACAGTATTGCTTTATTTTTAAATAACAGTATATTACTGTATTTTTATATTTAATTTGTTAATTATGATTACTTACTTGAAAGATGTGTATAATGATATTACATGCACTGTATATATTATGCAATTCCCCTTAGAATGTTTTCCGACATGTTACAAATGATGGTCATTTACTGGAAGAACTGCTTTTTGACTGACTGCAGTCTGCACATCACGACAAGGTCAAATTCTTGCATCGCTCCTCAAACTTGGTTATTGGTCTTCAACTCTGCTATGTTATACTTCTGTACAGTGTGCTTGCTGTTAACACCGCGCCGGTGATGTTCAAAGGATGAAGGGGTACGCGCGGGACACATTTTGAAAATGAAGCCGTCCTTCCAGATTGATCACTTTCGCAAAGGGCAATCTTCCTAATCCAGGACCCTTTTGTTTTGAATCTTAATTGTTGACTGACTGATTCGCCGTGGATCTTACAAGATCGCACAATACGACCGTCATATAATTTGCAAGATTACGAACTTCTTTTTGGAATGGTGTATTAGCGTGCGATTTCTGCAACATAAATTTGGAAGGTTTTTAACAAGATACTACATGTTTAAAAATAATATCAAAACAAGTTTTTAATTAATGTTATAGATCTGTTTTTTCGGAATAGTTAAAGATACAATACGTTAGAAAGAAAATTCAAAGTTAACTTTGTTTAACAGGTAATTAATATTTAATATCATGCATTTAGAATACATCACCATCGATCAATATTATAGGCCGATGGCATCGGCATCGTATATTTTCCTATTAGCGATGTACTGAATATTCAGCTAAATCTCTATAATATCATGATAGTATTATGATACTGTTTGGTAGCATAAAGTAATAGTATGAAATTATGAGATAAACAATAAAAGAATCTCAAGAGCAACAGTATCAAAAAGATCATTATTGTTGTTACTTTATACGTGACTAAATAATATTGCATTTATTTCTAATAATAACATAAATTTATTTTTCTTCCACGTGTAAAATAAACCGTCGACAAAAGTATTACACACTTAACAAATGCTCTTATCGTACAATCAGATGTTTCTTCAGATTTTCGTAATGTCCAAATAATATTATAATGCCTGTGAAATATCCTTTTTTGAAAGATTAACATAAGCTCTTTGTATTTTACGATACTTTTTGTAAAGATTATATTACGCTTGTCGTTTGCGAGGAAAGCCGTTGGTACTGGAATATAAAACTTCACTCAGCACTTCGTTTCTCCTGCTTCTGGCTTACTTTTTCACGATTATTGCGCGCAACCTGTATCTGACGTGCACCGGGGTTTCATCCAAAATCGCGCGATTTACATATTTCAGGAGGATAACTTGCGAACACGTGCATATTCGCCGCACTTATCGTAATGTACGGGAAAGAATATCTTTCGATATTAAGGAAACAAAATCTCGGAAGGAGAAACTTTCGCCTCTTCCATCTTCGGTCTTCCTAAAAAAATTCTCCCCTACACACGGAAGTACAAAACTTTCCTTGCGGTCACCGAGCACGGTTTAATGCCCTGTGCACATTCGCGTGTTGCTATCTGTTGTTGCTTGAATTTTTAAAGAAAATAACGCACTGCGCGCTACACCACCGTTTCGCCCGAGAATTCGAGAGGGAGAGGATCGGCTGCCCGGAAACTTCTTTCTTTTTTATCGACAACAGCACACGCAATCTGTGCACATTGCGATCAAAATATTTAATAAGCTATGGGCACGTGGGAGGGTGAGCCCCACTCGTACTCCCTCTCAAGTTTTCAGTTTGTACGGAGATACCACGTAGTGCGTATCATATCGATCGATCAGTTCTTTTTCGTAACAACGCTTGGAATTCTCTGATCAGAATCGATGCGTGTTAACGGTGCACAATAATAGGAAAATAATAATAACAGAGAATTATGAAAGCAAATACAATTAGCCAAGTGACAAAAATTTGGCTACGAATTTTTGGTATGTGGCCGGACAAATCGTGCGTTTTGTTACGTAGACTGTTCTGGTTCGTCATGCTCGTAGTCGAGCAAATCCTTCAATATCGATATGTCATAATGCGTTATCATTTGCTCGAGTTTTCCGAGATAATGAACGTTTTGAGTTCAGTAATGACGTATACGGTGTTTTTAATTAAAGTCGTCATTTTTTGGTACAAGCAGCGGTGAGATATGCAACGGCGCGTAGTGATGTGCACTATCAGTGAAAAATTTTCTTTAGAAATGTTAAATAATTTAATTAAATTTAATTGTATTATTCAACATTAAGTTCGCTACATAAATTTAGTATTACATATCGATTCAACAATTTGGTCGATGAAATAAATTATTTGACAATTGCCTTGGTCGATAAAATAAATTATTTGGCAATTGCCAACGTGAGCAATGCAATGAAGCTAAATTAAAGATAAATTGCTGTAATAAATTAATTATTGTACGCAAAGAGGAAATGAGTGGACTCACGTAAAGTCATTGCGCCATAATAAATTTTTTATCGATGGTTTGCATCGCTTCGTTGGGTCCGTAATCACGATTATGACCAAAGAAAACCGTTCGTAGAACTTTCAACAGAATATTAACGATGATGGCGATTGACTTGGGAAAGAGTTCCAGCACAAAATTCAGTATGTTTGCGACGATGTACAATGTCAAACTGTCGCAGCGCTTCGCTAATATGACGGTGATTATTTATTCGACAGCTGTAACTTTTTTTAGCTTCAGCATCGTCATAAAACGCGTGAATGATGACACAGCTTCCAACGTTTCCACACGACTGCTCATTCTAGAGATGGATTTGCCATTTGACACTAGTCAAAGATTTGTGTATGAATCGGTCATAATTGTTCAATTTCTTTATTTGCTACTGTGTGCCGACGCAAACGGTTTATTAAATGCTCTACTCATTAATCTGGTAAGTCCTGTTGCGTAAAAAAGTTAAGATTATAAATTATTATTATTATAAATATTGTCTATTATTTTTGTTATTAAAAATTAATTTCTTAATATTGTCAACCATAACGTCAATTAATTGACAGAATGTTCATGTGCATGGGCTACATCATCAAAAATAGCAATTTATTAACAAGTGTGCAGCTTTTTAAATGATTTTGTGCAGCATAAATTGAATCTAAGCATTTTTTATTTCTTTTTCGCGACCTCTGTTAAGTGCAGCAGTTGAGAAACATATATATTTTAGGTATTGCATGCAAGCGGTCAAATCAATATTCTTCGTAAGAGTTTGATGGAAATTTTTACAAAGAAAGGAGAGAGCAGCCCGAATCAACTCATGATTAAAAAATTAATAAGAAAACACCAGAAAATTATCATCTTTTCAGAGCAGATTGAAGATCTGTATTCGTATATCGCAATGGTGCTGTTTGTATCAGATACTGTGATTACGTGCTGCTTAGGTGTTACAATTGTCGCGGTAAGCAATTCTAATTAATTCTGCCGTTAAGAGAAATATATTCTATAGGAACAGCGCTGTTGAATCTGCAAAATAAGAGAGTCTTAATTTGTGCCTTTAATTATTCATCATTTTATCACTATTTCCTTGCTCTTAAAATATTTCTTAAAATTATAGTCGATTGGTCAACCCGATGCTTGGAAAAGTATACTCAGGAATTTAATGTTTTACTTCGTTATGAATATGGAGGCGTTCATATTTTGTTTCGCTGGAGAATACTTGAGCGCTAAGGTTAGACACTGGGAATATTGTACACGCTAAATAAAGCGAATATTACGTAATTGCTTCTAAAAGCTACAAGATACATTATTCAATAGAGCAAAAGCATTGGAGATGCTGCTTACGATTCCCTATGGTACGAATCAGGTTCCAGAGACAGTCGAAGTATATTGTTCTTAATAATGAGGTCGCAAAATCAATTAACCATTACGATTGGAAAGATAATGAATTTGTCTCTTGAACGATTTAGTAGTGTAAGTATATTCCAGATATGTTTTTGTGAAACCTTTTACAGATTTTATGCTAAAATTTGCTCTGCCAATAATTATCTAAAATCAACAAAATAGAAAATGTGTGATCTCTTCCTCAAATATAAATAGAAAATTATTCTTAATTAATTTTCGCAATATACTGTATGTTTTTCGTTTAATATTTATATTTTTATAAATCATTTTACATAACAAATAATATTTTGTGCAATATTCATATTGATATATTTTATTAAAACAAGTTAAATGATGAACATATAACTTTTCACAGTGAATTTCAGTATATTCATAATTTCTCTCTACTTGAATATTTTATAATAATTAAATAATACTGTTACAGATTATAAAGGCTTCGGGTTCCTATATATCGGTCCTACTTGCAATGTATTGAACAAAACTACATTATATTTGCATAGAACCTTTAATCAGCATTAACAGCTGGTTATTGTTTAGGTTGTTTAGGCTGGTTAGTTGCAAAAAAATTGCATATGTATTAAAGTGACAAAAACCGTCGCGTGTTGCAGTATTACTTGCCACGATCTTCCACGTGCGTGCACATTTGCATGCATGTATGTGTTTCAGTCAGGAGTAAGAATAAAACTCGGGGCTGCCAGACGGTAGATCAATAACTCGAGATACGCAATGTTTATTAAATGAAGTCGAACAATGCAACCCCGTACTGCCGTCCCCTCTCGCTGGTATTGTTCGCTCCACTTTGCGAGTCCCGACTATTTTATTTTTATTTTTCCGTGGGACTTCTATTCA